CAGTTTCTATATTAATCAGTAATACTATTAAAAAAGATATCATCCTATTATTTCCGGGGACCGACTGAATAATCGATTTAATACTTTTTAAAGGCTTGGTTCAAGTTTGTATTTAAGTATTTGGTTGATAAGAGATTGAATATGTAAATACATCCTTTTAAAAATACAATACTAAGATGAAATTATTGATTCAGAGATACGTGGGATCTTATTTATCTGAGTTGTTAATACTATTGTAGATACTTAATATTTGATTCTATTTGCGTTATGCTAACGATGTATTTAGACTAATAAAGGGATCTGGTCAGCCACGCTACAAGCTGTAATACAGCTAGGCTAAAGAGCATTATAAATTATAATCTACCTAAATATGAAGTAGTGCCACCATAACCATAGGAAGAAAGTAAGACGATCTGTTTAAAAGACTCTAAATTATTGTTACTGAGTTCAGAGAATCCTTTATACTATAAAAAATATACTATAAATTCCAATACTCCAGATCTTATTGTTCTTTCAGAAATTTGGTTTGAATCCTAAAAAAACCATCAATTCCTCTAAAGTTTGACCCTCAACATATACAATCTATAATCTGTAATGTGCTTAGTTAAAAATACTATCCAAAAGCGTATCCCATCAGTAGACCGGGTCCTTAAAAACGATCTTAATTTTTGGGAAAACTACAGTCTAAGCGTTGGCCTAGATAAAATTTGCGTGACCGGGACTTCGAATAAGGCGAATCAAAACAGAATAATATATATAGAAAAGAATGAACAGAGCATACTTATAATTATATTCAGATTCTAAAATATAATTCTTATATATTAAGTATAGAAGATGAAATAATCTTACTATATTTACTATACTAAATATAATGCTAGAAGAATTATAGAATATAAATATATACAGACTTTGGTTCTTCCCGAGCTTATTTTAGAAGTAAGATATAAATAATAATTTATAATTATATCAAATCAAAACCAAAAAAATTAATTTTATAAATAAATATATTAGATTTAGAAAAAGTTTTAGAATTTACTGAGCTTGTCCCTCAAACGCTAAAGTTCTAATAATATTATTATTTATTATTTTTTTCTAATAAGACTGCAATGGAAATACTGCCTGTTGTCTATCGAGAAATGTAAGTCCGTTTAAAAAAGATATTTAAAAATAAAATTATAATAAAATAAATAAATTGTTATATTTGTTAATATAAATATAAAGATTATTTAAAAATAAGCTTAATTATATTTAAATCATATTATTTTTAGTTATTTTTATAATATTTCTGCCTCTTCCGTACTTTTCGCGCGAATACTAAATCTCTAATACTTAAATTTAGATTATCTGTATAGATATAAAAGTGTAATAGTTTTAATATTTAAAATTAATAAAATAAGACCTGCTGGTATAGATAAAGTAATAAACTGAGAATAAAAAAACCAATTCTATTATTCTGCAGCTATTAGTTATATTCTCTAATAAATTATATTTATTTATATTTATACTACAGCTCAAACTCTAATTCAAAAACTTAATTAATTCTTTATCTTATTATATTTTTATTTAATATCTTTTATATATAAATATTTTATTTATCTAATACAATACAGTAGCTGATTTTTTTATATATATTTAATAATAAATATTTCATCAACTACTGTAAGTCTAAATCTGTTATAATTATAATAAGCTGCTGATTTTATTTTAATATTATCTTTCAGAAAGTATCTTTAGAGATATTTACAATCTTAAATCTTAATTTAAAATAGATAATTAGTACTTTTCTATATTAAAATCTAAAAAAAGTTATATACAGACCAGTTATTATATTATATAAAAATAAACAGATTATTACTGTACCGATAGATAAGTTTATAAAAAATCTAAAGTTTTTAAATAGATTATATTATATTTTTAGATTAAAATCTACTGCTGCTTATCACGCAGATACTTCTATAGAGAATCTGATAGCCCTATTTATAAACAGTAACTTCATCTGAGAATTTCTATTAGTTTTCGGAAGAATCTGTGACTGAAACACCTCAATACGCTTCATATATATATCTTAAAATCTCTCCTTGTGCAGAAAAACCATACTTATTACTTTTATAGTAAATTTCCTCTATTGCGGAAGACCAGTATACTAATATAATATAATATTTAGCTCCTTAAGTTAGGAACGCTCATTATAACGATGACTCAACTTTATACTATAACTAACCTTTTTTAAATAATTAGCTATCGCGCTGCGGTACCATAAATAATTCCTCAGCTACAATCTCGCTGGCCAAAGTGAGCATTGTCGTACCTCTCAGAAAACCATACCTCTTATAAATAAGAGCTTGTTGCAAGACTAGACTATAATCATTCTTCTTCCAAAATATCAGTCATTTCAATTCGACTCTTCCAAAGTCAAACGGAAACAAGCCAGTTCTAATATAATTCGAGTGGTAACTAATACTTGGCGAAACTAATCTGGCAATTCTAATTTATAAGAAATATTAAAAGAATTAAGAGCCGGGGAATTTATTGGGAGCCATCTTTTTAAATACGATTAGATAATAAATAGGCTGTTGAACTAAATTTTAAAATAGAAATACCGAAGTTTTTTTATATAATTAATACAGGTACTCTAAGAATTCTATAAAAATCATAGATAAACCGAGAATGCTAAATCTAAAGACCAGTTTTAGCTTAAAAAAAAGTTAAATCTACTCTTAGAAAATAAAATAGTCTAAACGTTTAAATATAGTATAATTAGAAGAACTTAATATCTTTCAGTCCAGACTAAAAGACAGTAAATATAGACAGATCTTTCTAATTAATATTGTAAAATCATAGCTGATCATGATCTGTTGAGGACAGAATAATTAATAATAAAATACTAAAATAATAAATAAATTAATAGAAAGAGAATTTAAAATTTTTAAAAGACTACAACTTAATCTAATTAAATCTAATTTATAAAGTAAATTTATTTTTATTTTAGTATAGAACATTTCAATACTACAGATCAGAATGTATAATTTATTTACTATTTCTAAATATAAAATTTAAAAAGTTAAGATATTTTAATATTTTAATTCTCAACAGATAAGAATATTTATTTTTAATAAAGTTAAGATAAATTTTTCCAATACCAGTAAATATTAGAAAAATAATCTTTAAATTCTTTTTCTTTTTATAAAAAGTCTTAAAAACAGTAGCTGATGATTCGGTAAGTTATATATTAAAATAAATTATTATATCCGGCTTCTGCTGTATCTAATTTACTTACTGTATTTATATTATTTATTATAATTACTATAATTTTTATACTTACCGTACTTTTATTACTTATTAACAGTATATTAATAATACTTTTTTTAGTTTTTATTATACTTACTAAGCTCGAAGTGATTTTAATTTCTGCTGTTTTTTTAATTTTTATATATTTTATAATACTTCTGCTTCTATTTATAACGCGTATATTTCTGCTTATAGAATTTATAATATATATACTTATATTACTTACAGCACTCCGGAGGCTTGTAGTATATCTAATACTATAATTATTTAAAATATTTTTAATACTACTATTATTTATAATATTAATATTTTCTAAAAAATAATAATATTATAGCTATAATAATTATAGTACTATTATATATTTATAAATCTGTATCAGACTTTCAGACTGTTTATTAATAAAACTACAGTAGTAGAAGTATATAGCTTATCTGCTGTTTTATAACAGATTCTAAAGTTAAAAGCTCTTATTAAATATATAAAAAGTTAAAATTAAAAGTAGAAGATAGATTTAAAAATAATCTTTTTTAATAATAGAGCTGGCCGGAGGATTCTTATATTATATTTATACAGTTTTTTTCTTTTTAATAAATTATATTATTTATATAATCTAATCGCTATTATCAGTAGTTTTATTATTTAGAATTATAAAAAAACTTTATTTAATATAATATAGTACAGACTACTTACTCAAATACCATCTATATTTATCTTAATCTATTTTTAATTCTGTTTTTTTTCTGAATCTTTATTTAGATTATTTTATAATATATTTTATATTGCTGCTGCTACTACTAGACTATAGCTAATTAATTATAAAGTAACTATATTATTTAAAAAAAGAATTACTTACAGCTGTATTTAATTAAAAAAAGAACTTTTTAAATAAAATTAAAATAAGATAATTATAGTAAGACAGTAAGTTATATATTATCTTCTTAACTAGCAGCTGGCTTAAATACGGGGTTATATTTTTTATTTAATAAGAAATAACTATTTTTAATAGTTTTTTTTATATAAAAGCCGAATTACTAAATATTTCTTATTTTTTATACTATCAGATCAGTAAAAGATTCTGTTTTAAGCCAGATATTCTTCTGAAAGTAGAATATATTACTATTATTATATTAACTACTATATAATAACTATTTATTAATTTAAAATATTAATATTTTTAATATTTATAACTGTTGTGACTTACTATACTATAAGATACTGAATTTAAATATAACTATTTAAAAGACTTTAATAAAAATAATCTTTTTTTATTTAATTACTTTTATAGAATATAATAAGTAAGTAGTAAAAAATATCTTTTAGCATCTGTAAGCTCGAAAATTCTTATATAATATTCTACTTATTATTATTCTTTTAAGATATTTCAAAATAAAGTTCTATTAATATATACTGATTAGTATAGATAGATTTTTATAAATCCCCCTTAAATTAATTTAAGAAGATTAAGATAGATAAATATTATTATAAGAATACTACAGCTTTTTATTAATAAAAAGCTATATTAAAAATAAAATAAAAATTAAATTTTGTAAATATCTTCTTTTTAGACTGTTTTTTTATAATCTTAAGATACTATATTCTGATTAAGAACTAATTTTATATATTATTTTAGTTTAATAACTATAAATAGTATAATTAGATAATTATTTTTTAATAATAAACTCTTTTTTTATATTATTCTAAAATATCTACTTTTATTTTCTGCTAATACAGTTGCGGCGAGGCTTTTTAATTAAATAAATATTATAAAAATAATATCGAAGCTCTAAAGTAGAAGAATATATCTTATTTTTATAAAATAAATAAAAATATATAATAGGCTTGTTTTTATTTATTTTTAATAAGTATTCTTTATTAATATAATTAATTAGAGTAGTTTTTTCGTGCTATTGCTTAAATCTGTACTCAGACTATATATTCTGATTGTCCAGACAGAAAGAATAAAATCCTAATAAAACTAATATATAATAAAATTACAATAAATCACAACACAGCTGTAGATTTTTTAAATAAAAGTAATAATAGACCTGCCAGTTAGTCTTAGTGTGGAATCACTTAGTATATAGAAAGTACTATTCTAAAAATATTCGGTCAGTATAATAATAAGTTTTTTTTTATTTTTATATAATTATTAATATAGTACTGCATTCAGTAATTTCCTTTTATATTAAAATATATGTTTGGAGCGACCTTGGATCTTAAAACTACAGGAATTAGTATTATATATAAATATAAAAAATCTGAAACAAATCTTAATATATTTTTTAAACAAACCGAATATTTTTTATTAATTAATAATTTATTAGAATAGTATACTATTCTCTCTTCAGACGTGCAGATAGCTACTATATCTAATATATACTATCTTTTAATCTTACTGTTAATTATTACTTTACTAAATAAATTATCTTATAGTCTGTCTCTTTCTAATATATATTTTCGGTAGATTAAAAATAGATATATTAAATTATATTCAGTAAAATCCTTTTCTATAATATATTTATTATAAAAGGATTTCCACCAGTTCTAAATAAAGTTCTTAATCTTACTGCGTTGTCTCTTTATTATTTTATTATATAACTTTTTTTATTTACTGATAAGATTCTAGTACTTATTTAATTTATTATTAATTTTTTTTATTAGAATTTTAATTTTTATATATAGATCTTTTATCTTTTTATTATTCTTAAACTCAGCAACAGCAGTAGTATTAAATTTCTGAAAAATATTTAAATTACAGTAGTATGCTATATTTTTTTATATTAAAATACTTATAGTCAGGCTCTAGATTTCAAAAATATATTTAAATATCGGTATATTTAAACTTCGATTAGTACTTAAAATAAGTATCCGGATTTATATAATCTAATATTTAATTATATATAACTTAAGATATCTTTACTATAATAATATAATCAGTAATATATACTGTAGTATATAAGTATATTATATATAATTAATTATAGTTACTATTTAGTCTTTAATTTTATAAATTTATAGCAGATCTCAGAAATATTCTTATTAAATAAAAGAGTTCAGATCGTTCCGAATTAAAAAGAATATTAGAGTACGACTAAAATACAGTTTATTTAAAATAATCATATAGAAAACTAATAAAGATTATATATAATCCTTCTATTTAAATATTTAAGATTCTCTGCTTTTAGATAGAACTTTTAACAGCAACTTATTAATACTATAAATATTTTTAAAAGCTTAATCGGCTATGCCTGTAATTATAATATAAAATATAAAATTTCTACTAAATATTTTTTACTCTATAATCCAGTTCTTTAAATTAGAATTATCAGTACTAATAATAGTAATATTTAAAATAGGAATTTATATAACTGTTTTATTACTATATTAATAATCTTTTACAAATTCAGAATCTATAATAACCCATCTTTTAATTTTATTATCTTTATATTAGATGTTGAAGGTAAGATACTTTTTATTTAAATAATTAGCTTTTCTAATAGAATTTATAAATATAAAAATCTAATATATTTTATAGTAAAAACACTTATTAGTATTTCTATATAAACTTAACTCGACAATAACCCCGGTTCTAGCTCCGGAGTCCGAAAAAAGTAATAAAATAAAAATATCTTAGAATCGAGCTCTTTTATAAATATAGTTATAATTATTATCTTAAAATAATTATTTAAAAAAAAGATTAAGATCTATTGCTGTAATATAAAACTTTTTCTAATATTTTATTTTAAATCTATACTTTAGTATTAAGTTATTATAAATATACTTTAAATATGATTAGTAAGCGTTGTAATTTAGAAAAAAAATAAGATATCTAAAATATATATTATAAATATTATTTTTAATATTCTTCGGAATAACTCTTAAGATTTTTTTCTTCTATTTAGTAATAAAGCAGAATAAGTTATAATTTATACTATATTAAGAGGGTAGGTCTTCTTTATATAAATAGATAAAACTTTTAGAAAAGAGTTTTAAAATCTAACTGGAAGAATCTGGTTTTATTTTAAAAAAATATCTATTTTCAGATTTATCTTAAGTTATTATCCATCTAGACTGGGATCAGTAATATTTATATATATAGTAGAAGAATATTTTTATTATTTATATCTTCTAATTCTTAATAATTTTATTATATCTTTCATCAGTAGCCGGAGCTCTCTTTTTATAATATATTTTATTTTCTTTTTATTTTATAATTTATTAATATTCAGTAGTAAAATTATATAATTTACCGATTTTTCGGAGTTTTTTAACTTTTCTCTGCTTCTGGTCCTCCTCGAAGAGGCTTGATTTATTATTATATAATATATTAATTTTTTATATAGTATTACTTTTTAAGTTGTTTACTGAGTATAAGTATATTAAATAGAAAAAAAGAAATAGATAATCAGATTAAACACTTTATTTAACTTTCAGATTTTTCTTATTTGGTTAACTGGCTGGTCTGTTTGGTTATTCGATTGTTTATTTATTTACTCACCCTGCTTATTCTGCTTATCTATATTCTAAATAGTATTATCCAAATCATCCGTACTTACTCTTCGTCTTAGCGTTGCTTATTTATAAAGCAGCGACTGAGAAAGGGCTTATATCCCACTCGGCCGCGTTTAATAGGTGGCTTAAGTACGGCTGAGCGGACGGGAAGCCCTGTTTTCCACACCCTGTGGTCGTATGTGCTTGTACTCTACTAAATTCCCAATATAATACATAAACATGGCAAAATCTTGAACCAACGAAGTTCGTACAACCGTGAGCAAGCTGTCCCGTGGCCAACGCGCAAGATGGCAGAGATTTGAGACCAGCACCACTTTACTGCGAAAGGTCTTACCAGCACAGTCTTATTCTCCGATGGGCTCAGCCACACCCTGTCGATCTCCGCGGAGCAAGCGCTGTGACGAACTCAATTGACATCATAGAGGGTTTAGCCCACAATGAGTCAAACCTCTCCTTGTCCTCACGGCAGCTGAACTCTTCTCGTATAGCATCAGCCACAGCCATGCTTAGCCACCTCCCTTCCACTGACGCACAGGTGGATCGCTCGCATGAGATATCCGGCATCACCGGCCGTCAAGGCGGAGTCCGGACCAACCGAAGCGTGACCCGCTCCCAGCGCGTCGGTACCCTCGGTTTACCGTTGAATGACGCCGACCTTGACTCGCATTTTCGGTATGACAGACAAAATGATTGGGCCACAACACGCTATATGAACAAGGCCACATTAGTGCCAATCAGGTGTTACTGACGGAAAGAAAAATTTCGCAAGCGAGTCGATGTAGCGGCCCTCCACCCGGGTGATTATATCCGCTCGGCATTCGAGTATAGTTACTAAGACAGTCTGTAGAAAGGACAGCTGTCTACTGTTCTAGAATGACTATCCCCTCACTTGGTACCGGAAATACTACTCAAGGTATAGTAGGTGCTTTCCACAGTACCACATGTTCAGCAAAGTTGATAGAGCATCGTAAGCAGTTTGAGAGGCGCCTTGGCGGCCTGTCAAGCATCCGCCCATTAGTGTCTCAGGCACCAATGGGACTACATTTGTACATGGCGCGGAGCAAGGGCCTGTGGACCTTCCTACCTTCTCTCTCTCATGAATGGGATTCTTGCCAGTTGTGATAGTTTTATCAGCCCCTTGTAGCCTCACACAGTTATTCCCAACCGCAGCTCATACTATACATCATATCCACCGGACGGACTCTACGTAGCCACATTGCTACTCCGGATGGTAGCCTCAAGCGGGTAGACCGATTTCTCCACTGTCACACCATTATAAACTCGATCGAATCTCTCCTGCAGTTCGGGGGCTTTTTTCCACTCATGCTCCGGATCGCGCAGCCAAAGTCGGAGAAGGTGCCGTCTATGAATGCAAGCATTAGCTTTCCGGTTCTCCATTCACCAAGTCATAGCCGGCATGAAGACACGCACTGTTTCTCGCTGGAGTCGGTAAAGGCTCCTCTCGCGTGCAGGATACTCAAGTTATTAGCAAACTGAATGTCGCCCTTGCGAAAGTCAAGGGCGATCGAGTGCTTCTCGGCAGTGAAATGAATCGCATCGAGAGCCTCCGCCTGCGCTTCGGTGAGGGGCGGAATGTGGGCGGAACGCTTGCAGTCGAGATAGCCGGTCAGGTTTCTCCGGGAGTATTGAATAATCAGTCGCTCTGGGTCGGTGTCGGTAGCAGGCTGGTAGTAGAGAAGAGGTCGCAGTTTGTATACGTCGCCCATTTGCGCGAAGCTGGAAACCCACGGGGTTGTCATTAGTCCATGACGCTGAGCCTTGGGATGTTAGGGGTGTAACTTACTCATCAAAAGGCCAAGGCTCGGAGAGTGTCTTGATTAAATCCGGGCGTGTAGCGGCCAAAATGTTATAGACGTGACAGGTACTGGCCAGAAAGCTTTCCCCTCCCGATGCACCCTCGTTCAAACAAAATAGGGCAATGACATCGCCGGCATCGGTATGGAAGACCTGTTTGTCGGCAGTTACCACGGGACCAGGGATATCCTGAGACTTGCACGACTGACTCAGGTCCTTCACGTGGGCAAGCATGACATCGGCTGGCTTGCCTTGCCATTTGTTGTCTTGCCGGCCACGGATCGGGGCAATATGCGATGAGAGGCCGGTGTAGATGATTACGTTCTCTTCGCGGGTGTAGTTATCGACAGGCAGACCTCGAATGACTTTGAATCCATGGCCGTTGTGGACCTGGTCCGAGATATCACGCAGGATAGGACGTAGGTGGGGCAATGGGAATGTGTCTGGGCCGACCTCACCAATTGGCTTATTCGATGCTGTTTGGGATCAGATGTGAAGGCTATATCGAAAATGTCACGGACGGTATACTTACATTTGAAGTATTGGAGGGCAGCATCAACTTCCTTGAGATTCTCCGCACTGAGCTGGTAGTTCCAATCATACTCATCAGCGATTGTACTGGCATTCCAGACCAACTGGCCCGACAGAGCTGCAGGAAAGCCCTCGGGGAGGTGTTTGTCCAGCTCTTCTGTCGCTTGTCTTTGCTTTCCGCGTGCCAAGTATTTGTCATAATCAGGCATATACTCAATGTCGGCCTGTTGACGGTGGCTCAAGACTGAGGCTGTCATGGTGGTCGATATCTAACGTGAAGGGCGGTTTTTTGGGACGTTGTGCCCCAGGCAATCCGGTGAGCATTCCGCAGATTTATATACATGGGATCACTAAAACGGTTCATTCTCATTCAGCCGCAATTGTATGAAGAAATGTCGTGATCAAGCAACCTAGGCTCTCATTGTAAAATGCTTACTCCGATGACTCCGATGAAACCAAAACCATGAGGGTTAACGGAGTGGATGTCGGCATGTCGGCGTCTCGGCGTCTCGGCGTCTCAGTGATTTGGTCCCACTCGGCTGTGCTGACGCAATACCGCAGTAGGGCTTTTTTGTCGCATTTTGCATTCCCCCTTGACTTTTTCCTCAAACCACCACAGTACCTGCATCTCAGAACCATGAATCCAACCACCCTCAATTGCCCTTTACTTCGGATATGATGCCGAGCTCGACTCCGAACCGCTTGGCACTCAGACCAGGAAAGCTTCCCGCGTGTAATCCGTGTCGAGCAATCAAGCTACGCTGTGACCATAGAAAACCGATTTGTTCCCGATGTAGAGAACGAGGGTTGGAGGATGACTGTATTTACCGGCCTCGACCGTTCAAAAGACCCTCCGGCAAGGATATTGTTCACAGGCACAGGCTCGGAACCGACCAGACTTCTCTATCCCCGCCGTTGCCGTCTCCTCTTCCCACCGAGAATGAGGCTGGTGCGACTGCGCCTGGTATAGAAGCAGTAGGCCCATTCACCAGCTTCAGGGTTTCATCATCCGTCCAGTATCCCAATCCCGGTTACCTCGGCTCGTCGAGCCATACGACGTTCTTTGATCAGCTGCAGGTCCGACAAACCCCTGAGGATGGTGCCGGAGTTCGGGAGGATTTACCCAGCGTTCCCTTGCAAAGAGACTGTGCGGTGGAAGAAAATTCTATCGCCAAGGGTGCCGAAATTCTTCTCGAATTGTACCAGGGCAATTTGGTGCAGCAGTTCACCCAGCTCTTCAGCAGGTGGACAGCCACTGGAGCAAACTTGGCCCTGGCCGGCCCCTTGACGTCGCTCTGTGCATCCACAATAGTCTTCACCTTGGCCCAGTGCGACGGGACACATGCGAGCGCAGTCACCATCTCTCAAGGCCTCTTTTCCCGTTCTTGTCAACCCGTATCATTTGCGCCTGATACGAAATTTACTGAGTACTGTGCCAATTTCTGTGGAAGGAATGCACGCTGGGAAACACTGGGATTATTTCTCACCGCGGTCTGTCGAGCCTCGGTTGATCTGACGTATGCAGAACCAATGTATGGATCAGAGCAGAGACGACGTCAAATCCAGAAGTTGACCCTCTCGTACTCGGACCGACTGTTGGATCTTTGCTTGCCGCTCGACTGTATGAATGACCTGCAACTCTTTCTCACGTATGAGAATTTCATCTCTCATTCGCAGGTGGATGGCGACCAGAGTAGGAATGTCCCGATCCTTCCAATATACAATTACAATCAGGTACCAAGTAAGAAACTGTTATACTAGGTTACCTATCCTGGCGCAAACTCGGCGATGTTGCAGCCTCTCTGTTTGCCCTCGGCCACCATCAGCAACAAACCGAGAGTTTCCAGACAGTCCCTTCGTTCCTTCGCCAATTACGCCAAACCGCCTTTTGTCGGACCTACTCGGCGGACAAGAACGTGTCCATATTTCTCGGCCGGCCACCCCGAATCTTGCGCAAGTTTTGCCACTTTTATCTGCCAGGGGACCCGGAACAAGCCGGTCCTCCCCAGGCGGCATCCCGCAAGCCAGCAGTCTGGGACTCGTCCACTGAGCAGATCGATTACATCACTGACTCGCGTTGGGCTGGCCTTTGTGCGATTCTGAAAGAGGATATACTAGACCTCTTCAACGAGGAGAATTATGAGGAAAGAGTTCGTCGGGCAAGGTAAATTTCTTCGTCCTCTTTTTCTAACGTTGATCAAATCCCTCTGACGGGGTAAACGTTTGGCACTACAGAATAATAGAAGCCGACGCTCACGCTCAATGGCACGCAGTCCCACCGAGCTGCCGTCTCGAAGGCAACCTCAAAAGCTGCGACCGCCGACCGGTGGAGCGCGACTTCATGGTGAACATGAAGCTCAACTACATCCACGTCCAGTTCCTGCTGCAGCTGGCGCTGCGGCGTCCCACCACCATGATGGATCCAGACCCGAATTTGCTCACACTTTCTCTCCAAATGCTGGGTTTAGTCGTAGAGGCTATTCTGCTCAAGGACCAGATTGTCAACTCGGGTACCTCACTCGTGTGGAAGGTGGCATATTACGGCTTGTCCGCCGCGGGACTAATTTCGATGACGCTGGTTAACCGCGGCTTTGCCCCCATAGCGTTACCATCGGGCGGCATCTCGAAAGTCTTTCAGGAGTTGAGCATCCTGGTGGGGGAAATCGAGCGGGGAACGTTGGTTTACATCGACTCGCCGAATTATGCTCTCCTGTCTCGCGCCACACAAACCATCAAGAGCATTCTGGACCGGTCGATGTCATTTCAGCCGCTACAGCCGGGCACAGCAACAGTTTCGGGCGAACAGTTGAATATGATCACGGCCCCGGAGCAACCAGAAGCATTCGATGATGGGTCATGGGGTCTGTGGGATCATATGAATTTGCAGGAGTTTGAGATCAACTTTTGGCACCAACTGGCCGGACATCCTTCACTGAATTGATAGTGATAACATTTCGAAGGGCAGAACGTTAGAGCTTAATCAATGCGTGGGAGGCAGCCGCCCTACATTGGATTGACACAGTAATGTAACCGCATGCCTGCTCACGAATTCGCACGGCCTATTAGCTCTAAACAGCAGGCGGCAGGACTATCAATCATAAGCCAGAAGATTCTTACGGTATAGTTTCATCATGTGTGATTTACCTAGGACGTGGCCAAATGAAGAAAGGGTAAAAGGAATAGAGTAGGAGAGCAGCGATGCCGATTGGCTCTTTTTTTTTCGATTCCGGAGTATTGAGATGACGCGAACAAGATGCATGCAATGCTCATATGCTTCGTCGCCGACTGGTCGAGGGACGGGTGTTGAGGACCCGCAATTCTATCGGTACTCCTTAAATATCAATCCTAAAATCTATAAACAATATTGTCCATGGATTGACGATCTTCAATATTCTTCAGGATCATTTTCTTCCTTCTTCCCTACAGAATGGTTGTGGATGATACTGAGAAACAGTTGCCACCGCGCGACAACACCAGGGCCATTCTCGAGACGGGCAATGTCTCTGAAGAGAGCGGCCAACTGGCACGGAAGCTCACCCCTCGCCAAGTCCAGATGATCTCCATCGGAGGCACGGTAGGGACAGGATTGTACCTGGGAACTGGCCGGGCGTTGGCGACAGGAGGGCCTGCTTCCATGCTTCTTGCCTACAGTGTGTGCGGGGGTTTGGTCTTTCTCACCATGCTAAGTCTAGGTGAGATGGTGGCTTTCATGCCTGTGGCAGGGTCGTTCTGTACTTATGCAGGGTAAGCTCAATCCTACCTCCTCCAGTGCCTCGCACTCAACTGGGAAGGCTCTGACACTGTAGCCTTCTATATTTAGACAGTTCGTGGACGATGCATTCGGTTTTGCATTAACATGGAACTACTGGGCCAATGATGCCATTTCTACGGCTTCGGATCTCGTGGCATTGCAGGTATTGCTAGCTTACTGGGCAGAGCATTTTCCGGGATGGGGCCTCAGTCTGATATGTCTTGCACTGGTCATTGGCCTGAATCTATGCTCTGTCAGGATATTTGGAGAAGTAAGTAGCGCGAGGTGCCCGCTTGCGAGGTGATGCTGACCAGCAACCTTGAGGCTGAATATTGGCTGTCATTACTCAAAGTTATGACGATCATCGTAGGTCAACATGAGATACCCCAAAGACTCTCAAATTTTCCCTGCTCACCAACTGAAGGTTTTCATTATTGTTGGAATTGTGGTGAACTGTGGGGTGAACCCCCAGCACGCGTATCTTGGTGCCAAATACTTTTACATGGGCGATGCCCCCTTTGTAGGAGGAATCGGCGGCTTTGCTTCGGTTTTTGTGACTGCCTCGTTCGCATAGTGAGTGAAATCCCCGGTTACCAAGACTACCCATGCTAACGCGTATGTATGTTGTCCAGTGGAGGGACGGAGAATGTCGCAGTCACCGCGGGCGAAACGCGCAATCCATCGCAGACCTACCCGCGAGTCATCCGTAACGTCTTCTGGCGAATCCTTCTCTTCTACATTGTCTCCATCGTCATCATAAGCCTCGACGTCCCCTATAACCATGCCGGTCTCTCCAGCGAAAGCACAGCGACCAGCCCCTTCACATTGGTCTTTGCCTCAGCCGGCAGCACCATCGCCAGCAGCTTCATCAACTCCGTCATCATGACCAGCGCTCTCTCCGCCGCCAATCATGCCCTCTTCGCGGGCTCGCGCCTTCTCTACACCCTGGCTCTCTCCGGCCACCTTCCCGGCTTCCTGCGCACAAGCATGACCCGTATCAACCGCTTTCACGTGCCCTGGGTCGCGGTGGTGGTCACAGCGATTGTCAGCACTCTCTGCTTTGGGGCCAGCAAGCTGGGCGCCGGGCAGCTCTGGTCGTGGCTGCAGAATCTGGTCGGGGTGTCGAATCAGCTGTCTTGGACGGCGATCTGCCTGACCTCGTTACGATTCCGGGCTGCGGTGCGTCGTCAGAACGTGGAGCATCTGCTTCCGTTTCGGAATGTCACCTATCCCTGGGGTCCTGCGGTCGCTGTCGTAGGGAATCTGTTTCTGGTGTTGGTGCAGGGGTGGTCGTGCTTCTCGCCCAAGTTTGACGGTGTTCAGTTTGTTGCTTACTATCTGGAGATCCCTGTCATGCTGGTTCTGTTCGTTGGGTGGAAGATCTATCGGAGGACGCGGTTGGTGTCATTGGAGGAGATGGACTTGGTGACAGGTCGATGTCAACCGGAGGATGCGGGGGAAGATAATCCCGCTTCTGTGCAGACAGGGTCGCCGCTGGAAGTCGATGCGTGGCATCGTCGCGGACAAACTTGGTTGGAAGGGTTCAAAAGAGTTGGTCACTGGATTGTATGAGGCGTGGAGATAGTGTACGTACTGTATATCTATAGATACTAGAGGATGCCTTCTTCCCTCCTCCGTCTTTCGTTGATTCCACCAATCGTCTTCTGCAACCACTGTTTTAAGCCTTTTATACTAGTAAGCTTTGAGTGCTGGAAGCCTTGATAAGCGGCCCCGCAAGCTGTAGACACAGTAGTAAAGTTACAGTACTTATGTAGCCGACTTGCTTACCAATTGTATACCTTAGGTTAGAGACAACCTGTAGGAAATCGGCTTACTACCTCTCGATACCGAGACGCAAATGCCGCATCACGTTCATATAGCGCCAGCGGCCGCGGACACTCCCGGCCAACGTCGATACGTTGAAAACTAAACACGGGCATGGGTCGTTTGGGGGACGGAAATGCGCAAGCTCCCTTGCTGATTTTGCTATGGGGGCTTAGTAGGAATAGCAGGAATTCATACCAAAGCTCTCTTGTATTTCGTGCTCTAACTTAACTTCACTGGGGGAAATGCATTCGGCTATTTGACCTTAACCCGACAGAGGCGGGTGTCAGAACAACAGCTTAGTAATGAACGATGCAGTTTCGGGTAGTTAGTGAAATTGGACACAGAGACAGTGAACCGATGATGGATACGTATCGTGGACAGGAACCCTAAGTTATTTGTACACAGATGTGACTAAGCATGGCGCGCACACCGTAGACGGCGTGTGTTTATTCATTCTTTCAAGTTCGATGGCGACAGCAGCTGAGCTTGGCATCGGAAATTGGCTGAGTCAATCGGACCCTGAATTCAACTAATTAGCTCGCTACTGGGTGGCGAAGGCGTGAGTGAGCCTGGGGCTCCCCTTTCCGAGTCTAAATCTGAATGCGGGGGTCGGGAAGAACAAAGGACAACCTACGAACACAAATCGTGGTCATGATGCCACCACCGCCGGTCTGAATTCATGCCGATACTGGTTCCGGCGACCATAGTAGCCTGCATCTGCAGCAGGAGACCCCATTCCCCAAACATGGAAGTTCGAAGGCATTACGTCGCAATTAGCAAGAATAGGCTAATCTGTATGTGTGTAGTCACTTGGAGGTGGTCACCCAAGACCGAGTCACCACACGGAACCAGGCCACACAACCGCCTTCCATCAAACAACATCACACTATGGATGCCCGGAGTGGTTAGAATCTCTTACTCTACTGTATAAATTGCTATGACGTTACAGGAATGATCAAATAGCAAGGATAGATACAAGTCTCTTGAGAAGTAAAGCATTGGGATCTATATACTGTTCAAGTGAATGTGAATTAGAATTGTGTTAGTGGTGGTTAGTGACCCAATTCTGTGTTCTACGTGGGCAAGGCCAAAGCGGCAATTTTAAGCCCCGTCCCTGAGTCAATCGGGGCAATCTAACCGCGCGGGTAGAAAACAAGTTTTCAGACAAAATGGTCCACCGTAGCCACTCATTTCCTGATTGAAGCCAGAGCATCGTTCCACATGGTCCTCCCCACAATACTGCATTCTCAATTTGCGGGGTACGGTTCTCCACACTTCCTGCAGAAGTTCCAAGATGATGATGGCATCATGTGCTCTCTACACAATTATTTAAGCGGTGAATCTGCCTACGGGAATGGAGTAACAGATCATTTTGAGTTCATCACAAACAGAAGTCAGAATGCAACTGTCTGTTCGCCGCTTATTTTCACTCGGCCTGCTGGCCACAGCGCTTCCTGCTACAGTATGCGGTGCCAACCGGTCATCGATGTTGCGAACCGTGGTCACCACCGACCTCGAGCAGGACGACTTGGCCTCCCTGATCCGATACCTCCTCTACACCAACGAGCTCGACACCCAAGCAATCATCTACAGCTCCAGCCGGTACCATTGGTCCGGTGATGGCAATGGAACCAAATTCTTCTTGCCCGATCGCGAGTACAGCAGCCCGCAATGGGCGTGGCGATGGACCGGCACACGCACCCTACAGGACAAAGTCCTCCCTGCCTATGCCGAGATCTGGCCCAATCTGAACAACCATGATCCCTCCTACCCGACCCCCGACGAGCTCGCTTCTTTGATCAAAATCGGCAATATCAACTTCGAGGGTGAGATGGAGCTAGATACCGAGGGATCGGACTTCATCCGATCTCTCATCCTCGATGATGACCCACGTACGCTGTATTTGCAGGCCTGGGGTGGCACCAACACCATCGCCCGCGCGCTGAAGTCGATCGAGGATGAGTACTCGGGCGGGTCACAATGGAATGAGACTCGGGATGCGGTTGTTAACAAGACTGTTATCCTGGCCAGTGGGTTTCAGGACGAGACGTATGCGAACTACATCTCTCTTCACTGGCCACAAATCCGCGTCGAGCAGTTGGAACTTGGATACACGACCTGGGGATACAACTGCAACAAAGGCCAGGGTAACACACGCGGGCTCTCCACTGGCGACAACCTATACTTCACGGGGAAATGGATGAAAGCGCACATTCAGACGGGACCGTTTGGGAGGCTCTACCGCTCGTGGATCGATGGCCAGTCCATGGCCGGCGATGCGCAGGACATTTTCGGAAGTCCAGCCACTGCGAATCAGTCTAAAACATGTAAGGCCTTGGGGCCATACGATTTCCTGTCTGAGGGCGACAATGTGGTGTTCAATCCCTTGTTGACGACGGGTCTGCAGGACCCGGCCAACCCAAGTCTCGGCGGCTGGGGAGGTCGCAGCTATCAGAATTCCACCTCTCCCAACCTGTGGGTCATGGTGTCGAGCGAGAAAAACAAGGCGGGCATCGAGGTTGACGACTACACTACCGACCGATGGGCAGGGGCGGTGCAGAATGACTTTGCGGCGCGCATGCAGTGGACCCTGACCCCGAAGTATAGTAGTGCCAATCATCCCCCGTCCGTGACGATTCTGAACGGGACGACAGTCGAGGCACAGGCCGGAACGACGGTTACCTTGGCCGGAAATGTGAGCGATACCGATTCCAACAACGTCACCACCACTTGGTGGCAGTTTTTCGAGGAAGGCACTTACCCGGGCAATGTCACCGTGACGGAGGTGGGAGACGATCGGGCGGAGGTGGAGATCCCCGCCGATGCGCAGACTGGCCAGACCGTCTCAATCATCTTCGAGGGGACGGATGACGGGCAGTTTCCATTGACTCGTTATGGGCGTGTGTTCATCCGGATTGTATAGGTGATTTGTTTGTTCAGAGGCATTATCATAACCATGACAGCTTAGCATACTTTCCAGCATTAAGAGATCCGAGCAGCGTGAAGACGAAAGTAATAGAACTTGTCATGATCTGTTTGGGGGGTAGAGGAGGGGAAGTAACGACGGTCGGCAAGGATGGAGGAGCGGGGGAGGTTTCCTGCTTGACCTATCGATTATCCGCTTATCAGTTATCTCCTATCTCCGCCTTTTTGGCCCCTGCCCCGTCATCATCTCATTTCATCTGTAACTTACACGGCACTAACTTATTCATCCCATCAATCACGTTGAAAAGCTGAAGCTGTCATCCTGCATAACACATTCTGATAATGCTTAGAAATACAGTCAAGACGTAAGCACTGTGTTTTGTCATGCGGCTCTAACACAGATGGATAAAGAAGTTCTTGACAGCAGTGCTGTCCTCCGGAATATATAAACTATGGCCGAAGCTTGAAGGTCATGACGGGTCTAACAGCAACTCGAATCACCCATAGGCGACTAATTTCAAAAAGCTAATACGTTCGAATAATCGATGGACGCATCAACTACTGACGAAGCCAAATCGCACTTCCCAATTGTCGGAAGTGATGGGTGGTCCACCGCGGACGAAGCAACCGCAACCTGCTTCTGCGGCGCCGTGCAATTGTCTTTTGTACGCTTCTATTCCAACAATGTCTTTGCTCAAAAATCTACTAAACAAGTGATTTACTGTAGCCAACCCACGGTCCCGGATTCGTGGTCTCCTTCATCTGCAACTGCACCGACTGCCACAAAATCACGGCCTCGATACACTCGACCGGCTTCATCGTCCACGACACCTACCTGAAACATCTGCGCGGGCAGGCGGTCCTGAAGACATACACGCAGCCCAAATCCCCCGGGAGCGAGACGACGGTGACCAACCACTTTTGTTCCACGTGCGGATCGCTCATGTATCGCGTCAGTGCGGCTTATCCGGGCATGAGTGCGCTACGGGTTGGGACGGTGGACGATTTTTCTTTGCATGAAACGAGGTTGCGGCCGACGGTGGAGTTGTTTACCAAGGACCGCGTAGCGTGGAAGCCTCCTACCGCTGGGGTGGAGCAGTTTGTGGCCGATGGGTTGCATTAGACAGAGGGGATGTACAGTACAGTAATCTATGCAATTGACGAATACTCATAAAATGGCACGTGGTGATAACAGTGTCTCCGTCTCGGGTTTTCAAGTTCTTATCAAAGTTCTTCAGGATCTGGAATGGCGGGCGGGATTTGGCTGGCGGGTGGTTTGCCCGATTGGCTGGCCGCGTGGCGGACGCAGAAAATTCTCAACTCCACCGCACACTGGCGGGCAAAGAGTGGCAAGTCCACCCGGTAAGGAACTGGTGACCAGAGACTACTGCTCGACATGATTAGCGTTGCATAGGTGTGGCATCAACTGCCGGTTGAATCATGTCATATTCATGCTGTAGGTTCGTCTGACAGGGGAGACGATCCTCCTGCCCTCGTGCGACGGATTCAGTGGCATTTGCCACGAGTGTTAGGGTTGGGGAGGGTTGGAGATTGGGATTATCAAGATTATCAGCAAACGATTAGCCAAGAGAAACGGAATGGAAGCGTCCAGCGTCTTGGCAACCCCATTACGCAGGGCGCAACACCAATCACGCAATTGACTCACCCGCTTCGTTAGGTAAAATAAAAATTTCTTTTATAGACCGGCCACCTTGCCTTGCACACTTTCTTTCCCTCTTGACATTTCTTGAAAGTTTTTGCCTCTTCTGTGTCGTGTGTCGTGTGTCGTGTACCTGTCTCAGAGTAGCAATGGCCTCAGCATCTGCCAACCACGAGGTGGACGCCCAGGAAGCGCCGCAAGCCGTAGACATGCCGCGCGTGTCTCGGTTTTCCGGGGTCAAGTCCTTCTATCGCTCGATTCCCTTTCAGATTGCCATCGCCAGCGGTGTCTCGTTCACGGCGCCTGGTATGTGGGATGCCATGAACAACCTTGGCGCTGGTGGAGCTGCTGAGCCCTACGCTGTCTCAGCGGCCAACGCCCTGGTCTATGGGTTGTTCGCCATTGTCTGTGTGGCCGCCGGTGCCATCAACAACCGCATCGGACTGCGCTTCGGTTTGGTCCTGGGAGCTATCGGTTATCCCATCTATGGTGCTGGTCTCTACACCAACAACTATGCGCCCACCACCTGGTTCATGCTCTTTGGCAGTGCCTTGTGTGGTATCTCCGCCGGTTTCTTCTGGGCGGCTGAGGCGGCTATCATCATCGGCTACCCCAGTCCGGCGGATCGCGCTTTCTACCTGGGTATGTCAATGCTTATTCCGATGAAGGTGATGTCTTGTGGTTGTGAATACTAACAGCTCAACAGCCATCTGGCAAACTGCCAAAGCCGCTGGTCCTATTGTCGGCGGTGCCATCAGTCTGGGCCTCAACGCGCAGACCTCGTCCAAGGGCACCATTAGTGCAGGCACGTACATCGTGTTCATTGTGATCATGTGCCTGGGCTTCCCGATCGCCCTGTGCCTGAGTCCGGCGGAGAAGGTGCAGCGTAAGGACCGGACGTTGGTGGTGGTGCACAAGCAGGAGTCGTGGGCGGCCGAGTTCAAGGCGGCGGTGAGCCTGATCTGGACGCGGCGCGTGCTCATGTTGCTCCCTGCCTTCTTCATCAGTTACTTCTACAACGCCTTCTCCAGCACGTGGTTGACTGACTACTTCACCGTCCGCTCCCGCGCCTTCTCCTCCTTCTTCACCAACTTCGCCGGTATCGCCTCCTCGTTCCTGATTGCCGCTCTCCTCGATCGTCAGTCCATTCACATCAAGACCCGTGCCAAGATCGGCTTCCTGTCTATTATCACCGTTCTCACTGGTACCTGGATCTGGGCCTGCATCTTGCAGAGCCAGTTCTACAACGCCCCGGAGGCCCCCACCTTTGACTGGTTCACCGGCGGGTTCGGCAAGTCCTACGCCCTGGTCTTCTTCTGGCAGTTTGGCGGCCAGGCCTTCCAGCAATTCTTGTACTGGCTGGTCGGTCAGTACAGCACCGATATCTCTTCTCTGTCCTACCACTGCGGAATCCTTCGTGGATTCGAGGCGCTGGGACAGACCGTTGCCTGGGCGTACGTTCTCCTTCCTTTTCTTTCTCAAATGCTACAGAAACTGACCGAAACAGTATGCAAACCGAGGGCAACGTCAACCACTTCGCCAGCATTGGCCTCAACTTCGGCGTCACCTTGCTGTGCGTCATCCCCACTTGGATCGTCCTGTCCGGCCTGGAACACAGCCACGAGGTGCAGGTCACCGTCGAGGATGTCCAGGCCAAGAACGCGGACGACTCCGAAGCCTAAAATGGCACCCCCGTGGATTTTCAACAAAGTCCAACACGAATATATAGTATTTAATATTTTAGCATGAGATACCCCTTTTTCAACAATCTGGCATCGTTTAGCGTGGAGTGATTTGTGGTGGATTCATGGAATAGAACTCAATTTTTACCTTTATTCTCATTTTCTTTTCTGGTTCAGTCAAGCGTATTGGATTTGGTGGAAGCTGAAGTCCTCTACAGGCAGCTTACGATTTACATATATCGCCAATATTAGATTTGCGACAACCAATCAAGCTTGATGAAATACTGGTCTATATTATGCGACTATGCTTAGATCTATATTATGCCACTATGTTTTGACCTATACCTCAACCCTCCCTAAGAAAGTAGCCATCCTCCGATACATCTCCGCCGGGTTGGAGTACATGGGGAAATGCCCACTCTCCGGGATGAGCGCCAGCTCGACCCCCTCCTTCTCCAGCCGGGGCAGATACGACAATCCGGCGTTCTCCTCCCCGAACATGAACATCTTCGGACACGCCAAGCCCAAAAACATCTCCAGTAGACTGCCGGAGTCGGATAGCTGGACCATGGACTCGAAGATTGCGCGCACCGCGCCGGCGCGCACCCTCGCGCGAATAGTGCTGGCGTACAGGGCACTGCCGTAGGAATTTGCGGTCGCGGTGCGCGCGATGAATGCATCCAAGAAGGCTTCCGGGTCGTCGGCCGGGAAGAGGAAGATTTGCCGGCTTAGGAAGCAGTCTTCTGGGGCGAGGTTGCCTTTGATGTCTACGAAGCTTAGCACGCGGGTGGGATGGCGGTGCGCGAGGAGGAGGGCGGTCAAGCCGCCCATTGAGTGGCCCATCAGGTGGAATTGCTCGATCTGGTAGTGTACGAGCACCGCTTCGGCGGTGGCGACTAGGAAGGGGATGTCGGTGGCGGAGAGGTTCGTGCTGGTGGTGTGCCCGCAGCCCGGTGCGTCAAAGGCAATGTAGCCATATTGCTGGAAAGCGGGGCGGATCGCGATGTCGGCGAGGTCTTCTTTGCATGACCCGAAGCCGTGGAGGAAGAGGATTGGGGGTTTGCCGATGTTCAGGTTATTGTGGACGGTGGCGATGTTGAGGCTCACGCCTTGGACTTGGAGGGGGATTGTTTCGTATGTGAGCGGCATGGTGAGGGTGGGCTATGAGGAGTGGATGTATGTAGATGGCTGATTCCTAACCGGCGGGTGTAAAGCATGAATTTATTGTCCGACCCCCAGGTGCAAGAGCAATTAGGTTTCGGTCCGCCACCTGCAGGGTCAATTGATGGGGGCGGCAAAAAGTCGTCTTGCCGACCTCGGCATTGCCCCCGGTCGGGATCGGTGCGTTTCCCCGACCATGCTGGGCCCACGCTCATAGTTGGTTCAGTGTATAAGGTGCATGGGGGTGTTGTTCCATCTTCTCACCGATATTCTATATTCAGGCACTGTGCTAGTTCGTCCTTCTGGCAGCAATTCTTCATGATGGCAACTTCGTTCTTCAATCCGCAATTACGATTGCTCAATGCTCTTCGAGCCGGCGTAAAGCCGGTTATGACCTTCTTAGGGCTTCCGTCCTTCCGCACGGCACAGATCGTAGCTCAGACCGGTGTCGATGTCAGTACCATAACCCTATGATCATGAGGCTCCCTATTGACGAATCCAGGGAGTCATCATCGACTGTGAGCACGGTAACATCAACGACGATGCCATGCACAGCTCAACGGCTGCCATCGCCGCCATGGGCGTCTCGCCGCTGGTCCGGCTCCGAATGACCCACCCGGATCTCATCAAACGAGCTCTCGATGCAGGGGCGCAGTAAGCATCTTGCTCACCTTACCCTTTTGCGATGGGCTAATGCAATGCACAGTGGCATCGTCGTGCCCATGATCAACACCGCCGAAGAAGCCCGGGCGGTTGTTGCGCATGCGAAGTTCCCGCCGCAGGGGCTGCGAGGGCAGGGATCCGCATTTCCCGCCATTGCCCACGGCATCGACTTGCCGACTTACATCAAGACGGCGAATGACACGCTCATCACCTGTGTTCAGATCGAGACCAAGTTAGGAGTGGAGAATGTGGATGCCATCTGTGCTGTGCCGGGTGTTGGTGAGTACTTGGCCCGACGCATCTTCTAGCAGACCTTTTGTTGATTGTGTATTCAAGATATGATCTTCATCGGCCCTAATGACCTGGCACTATCTGTACTGGGTTATGTCCCTGCTAAAGGTGATGAGCCTGAATTTATCGACGCGATTGAGAAAATCGTGGCTGCGGCCCGCAGGCATGGCAAATGGGTCAGTCGACTGTCCAACAACGGGGCCTTATGTAAAGAGCATCTCAAGGTGTTTGATACGGTGGCGTTGAGTTATGATATTCGCGCGATTCAGAACTGGTATACCAGTGAATTGCAGGTGGCGAGATCATTATAGGCAGCGACATGAGCAACGCCGCTACTTTGTTGTAGGCAGACGATCTGAATTTTGGGTGTTGCTTTTCGGTTTGGGTGTTCCTTTTTAGCGGAGCAGAGTCTGTACATACATGTATCTATTGAACATTGGTACAATGGTTGAACTTACTGTTGTTCACTTTTCTCTCTCAGTATAGAATAGTAGAATTTCTACTACCAGGCTTTCCAGTACGCCGAATCTCTTGGAGGGTTCAATAGGTGCTTGGGTTATCAGTGTTCATGATTTGCAACACAGCTCGACTACGCTGAAGACTGTAGCATTTTTCTAGGAAATTGGCTATCGAGGGAAAGCAGAGTTCATTCACCACAGCCACAATACCTACTCTACATACCAATAGAAATAATGGGACGAGGAAAGAGCAAAAGCGCGACCTTTAATTAGTTCCTTCACTCATCCTTCCCATGCCGCTGCAATGTGTGGTAACCCAACTTCTTCCGTGCCTCAGCGATAGTGGCACCCCCTGCAATCATCTCTCGGATACCCTCCTCGCTCTGCTCAATCTTGCGTGCGACTTCGGCCACCTCACGCGCGCGAGCACGGGGCACAATGACCACGCCGTTCGCATCGGCGACAACAATATCGCGCGGGTTGACGCGGACCTTGCCAATGCCGACCGACTCGTTCACGCCTCCGACCTGCACGCGGTCTTTGCCCGTTCGCATCCACCGGCCAGCCGTGAACAGCGGGTAATCATCGCCGATGGCACGGTTCACATCTCGGCACACCCCGTCGATCACAGTTCCGGCGATGCCTCGCAGGCCGGCGTACTGCGTCATGATATCTCCCCAAACTGTGCAATCCGTGCGACCGCCGTTGTCAATCACCACAATATCGCCCTCGGCTACATCATCCACAAAGTCTCCCACACTACCGGGCGGATCGCTGGCCGGCACATACCGCACGGTGAAGGCCGGTCCGACGGTGACTTTGGTATAATTCGCAAGAGGCATGATTCCGAACGCCTGGCCCGGAATGCCCAGTTTATCCAATGCATCTGACACCGCTGGTGTATCGGAGTCGGCAAACAGCGCCACAAGCTCTTTGTCTTCTGGAATGGCGGACTTTGGATTGTGCGGAGATGATACGGCTTCTGGTGCTGCAGTCTGTTGCAGGGTTGGAGCGCTGTCACTCTGCCGAATGGCTTCGAACTGCGAATCGTGCATCACCTCCGAGACAGGGTGACCGGCACGGACGGCCTCCACCATGCGGGCCTGGCGACGATCGATGCGTTCGGCCAAATCCACAACCTCGTCAATGCGCGCAGCTGGCACAAACACCGTCCCGCAGTTGTCGGCAATGACATAATCATCTTGATGAACAGTGACTCCGCGTACCTGTAAGGGCGTGCCCGACGCCACCTGCACCAGCCGATTGCGGGCGCTAATCATCGTCACTCCCCGGCCGTACACGGGGTAGCCTACGTCTCGGCTGCCGTCGATATCGCGACTCATGCCATCGATGATGGTCCCGCGAATGCGCTTCTGCTTAGAGGCGTTGGCCACAATGTCGCCCCAGCAAGATATGCCTTCCGTCCCGCCTGCGATGACCAGGACGCGGTCATCCGTGGTGACGGCGTCGATGACGGGGGTGAGCAGATGTGTGGTCGGCTTCGCGTCGGTCTTGGGGCCGACTTGAACGGTGCTGGCACGTCCAACAATCTTCGGACACTCCCAGAGAGGTCTCAGGCCATAGGTGGCCCCCTTGAGGCTGAGAAAGTCTAAGGCATCGGAAATTGTGTTGCTGTCTAGCGCTGCCAGGCGATCAAGAATACTGGTACCGCTCATTGTGTCGACTGCGGGTGGGAAGGTGGGGTCAAGAATTGCAGAAAGATGCAAGGCTAGAAAGTGTGACTATAAGGATGCCAATGGGTCAGTTCAAGGCAACTCCTACATAAGGGGGAGGGGAAGGTCTTATAGATAGATGGCTCCTGAGTAGATTAGATGAGATGCGGTACTATCGGGGAATCGACAGTTGGCCGATAGTGCGGACGGTCGGTCGCCACAACGGGCGGATTCTGCTCCCGCCGATCGGAGCTAGAGACAATGAGTCCTCGACGTGCCACACTGCCTTAGCGCCCTTCTCATGCCTAACAGTGCCTACACATCCCGCACTGGCACCTATTCTTTCAAAATAATGTAAAACAAGAAATCCTTGTTTACTTCTCGCACGAACCACAGAGACCAATTGTCTGGATCACAAGCTGTCCTGTGCAATAGATGTATAGATCGCTTTTTTGATGCAACTGCCGTAAGATGTGTACATCCTGCGCATGCCTCTGCCACTAGCTGATCAATACTGAATGAATCACCAAGTCCTGACTTTGATTACATGTATGAAATGGTGCCGAGTGTGAAGTCGTATAAACTGCGTAGCCTTTTTGTTAGGAAAGGACTGATCTAGTCGGTATTTCAGGACAAAGCCCGCATCCCAGCACCAGTTAAGACGCGAGATTATGGCTTTCTTGCAATCCTCAAACCGACGTTGCTCGACGCATGATCCCACACAGATTGGCAAGAACTGATTCTCTACCACTCTTTCCAGATCAAACCAGGGAGTGGAGCTAATGTATAACATGTGCTCTGGTGAAGCAGTTTCCAGATCGTCCATATAGTCGTCACTGAGATCCACCTGAAGAAAGCATATATAGTGTTGAGTAGCATTGATTATGATGACGCTTTACAGGGTCTCAGAATCAGCTGGCTGAGCGATAGTAGGAGCACCAACAAGATTTTGAAACAATAGGTCTACCTTTGCTGCAAAGCGGTATTGGGATAAGATAGTCTGGGTGCGAGTGCCTCGCAAACCATTTGCGCAAAGCTTTCGTCCGAAATAATAGGTTGGCCGTCCTATAGGCACTGAAACTGTGGCTTCGCTTCCAGGATAGCGACATGATAATGTGTAAGCATGAAACCGCCACCTGATTCCTGCTGCCGTAAGCAAAGCCCGCCATCGTCAATGGCGATTATCTGACGGTCTCTACCCTTGGTTAGGGGTGCGAGTCGTGTCTTTGCATCCCGAAATTCGACGATGCTGACTGCGAGATCGAGTCCTGAGGCGCAGCATAATACAAGATATGCCGTAGCACGCACGATACAAGGCGTAGAGTGTCATCTTCGGGCACTCTAGCCAAGGTGTGCGTATCTTGGTCGATGTAGCCTATAAACGACGGCTGAGAGCCATGGGACGAGTCAGTGTGCGCAGGGCTACTAGAGCCGAACTGGGTTTGAGTAGGGTCAATGAAGTGCGGCTGTGATGGAAGTCGCCTCAGACGCTTTGGCTTCCTTTGTCAAGATCTGTCTCACTATCCTGCATATGTTCATTTTGCTCGTCTAGAGGTCCCTTGAACGTAGCCATCGCTCCCCAGATCTGAGCCACGGACAGGCTACAATTCGAACTCCGGACTAGGTAGTGCTCACTTTGAGCCATGAGTGCTGAGTCAGGTCCCTGGAGGAAGGCCTTAATCTCGTCTGACGGAGACAGTATGTCAGATGGTTCAGTATAGGGCAACAGAACGGGGAGAACATTGCGCTGTGGCTCCCGTCGCACTACACGACATGCAAGCAAATGTCCTCGGTCCCAAAGACTGGCGGATACTTCTTCCAGTTTTGAAAACATCTTTCCATTCTCACTTCGAAAACGGGCATTGAAGGCAGACTCCGTCATAACACTACTATAATACGGAACAGAAGCCATAATATAAATATTCTAGAAATGTGAGATCTAGCGTACTTGTTGAAAGAGAAAATAGAGAAAGAGAACTAATCGATAGAAGCCAGCCCCGCTCAAGGTGTCGGTGCCTGATTTGTGCCCCACCGGCTCAAGCCTGTGATAAGTTGGAGTCACTGTGGCGGGTGCGGCGGTGTTCGTGGCGGCTGGTCAGGCGGTCGGATCCGTCAGAATTTCTTCCGTCAACGTCAACACCGCGGCGATCGCGTCCGTTTGCAAAGCATCTTCAACATCTACTCCATCATCAATGCCACCATTGTTTAATGATGCCGGCCGCCTCGAGGCCACCTTCATTCTCTGACCTTATTCGACACCACACTTCGTATCTAGTCAATCCTCTACAGTGGACTTCACGCCATCTTGACCTAGTCGAGTGTCGCTTTCAAGATGTCGCGACCACCCCTTCCGAAAATCCACCAAACCACAATTCCGGCAAGAGTTCGCATCAAACTTCCAATCAGCGAAGCGATGCTGAGAACCTCGCGAAGAACTGGGACCCCATCCACAAGCGCTGCTCACTTTTCAACATCCTGGTGAAAGACACGCGCCTCTTCGCAGGACTCAGGTAAAAGAGCTATGATGGACCCGTGGATCATCGACAGAATTCACTGAACTTTCGACCCGGCAGCAAAGGTAACCCGTTCTATTTCCAAGGTCGACGTGTGCGCCGTCTACCAACCTATGTCATGTTTATCTACCTCGAAAGAGCCATTGACACCGCCGAAAACCGGACACCTACCCCTGTCGGTTATCTGCAGTACAACTCCATCCATGGAGCACGTCGAAAGCTATTTGAAGCTTGTCCAGGTCCGAGGGGAGAGAGTAACCGGGTTGGTGGCATACTATGCTGGAAGCGTATGCAACAGATAACCTTGGAAGAATGGACGGAGGACCCCTATTTCGTGTGTCCCCTCTTGGCCCTGGCGCAGTTTGAGGAGCAGCGGCGAGATGAGTCAAGCCCGGTTACTTTTACCGTATGTTCTCGGTTTACTTGCTCTCCGAATCTCTGTTATTTGGACACCAGGCTGATTAGCTACAGTCTCGTCTCCTTGTGACGGAAGTAGCAGATAAAGAGAAGATAGTCCTCTACGAGGCTGACATTGCAACGGAGCTTCTCGATGGGCTCAAGGATCCGAAAAAGGCAAATCGTCCAATGAACTGGCCCATCGTTAGACGTAAACAGATACCATACCAGCCTTACAGTACCTTCCCTGAAAGGATTACGGCAGAGCTCCAGACGCCTGGATTCTTGCCACATGATAGAATCAGTTCGATACCCGACAGTTCGGTCCCAGACATGGATGGTAAGACTCGAACAGGTCAGAAACGGCCGCAGAATGCAGAAGAGGGTACACCATGCAAGCAGACACGGATCTCCGACGCGTCATAGGTGAACCGACATCAGCACTAATACATTGTCTGATGATCAGATAGTCACTTAATTAATGTATACTAGCCATAGCAGCTGCGGAATCGGCTGTCACCATTTGAATAAACAAAAGACTCAAGCGGAAATCGGTTCTCTAACCATCGAACAACCGATATAGCGTGACCAGCTCGTACTATGATTCTCGCCCCGGGGCCTCCATCCGCCGATACCCTGGCGCATATCACTCGATTTTCCTGCCAAAGGCCGCCCCGCCTCTGGCCAGAAGACCCGCATCAAATTTGCTTCCCAAGCACTACCCAACACCCCTGCACCGCTGGTCAAGGTTCGGAACCAACATCCCGACCCCGTGAGAGAAATCACTGTCCTATCGTTGCGATTTCAGGAAATAGTGATCGCCACTGCAACTTCCTTGGATAGAGGCCTCCCGCCACTTGCTGGATTTGGGCTTACAACTACTTACTGGCTTGGTACCAGCAGCTCCATTTTCTGTTGTGTAATTGGACGTCGTTATAGCAAGATGAGAAGTTTCACCCACCGCGCTCGATTCTATGAATCTGAGCTGTCTGGCACGTTCAACTCGCCTGTGCGCCTGAAGACAGTAATCCTGAGGGCTGTCTCGGCCAGTGACAGTGGCCAGAGATACGCGGTTCCGGCTCAGGAGGTGCCTGCCACCGCAGGCGGCGACGCTTTGAACTGCTACTCATTGAACTCGACCGGTCTGAGGATTGATCATTCTGTACAGCATCCAGACAAGCATTACGGAACAAACATCAAATTCTATTTAGTCATCAAGGTATTCGGGAAAGAGGTAGCTCCGGTGGCTGATAGCAGCTCACAATTTGGCTTCGGGAGCTGTCTTCGTCTTTTGGGTGTACGCATCCCAATCCACCGGCCGACCAAACTGGAACTCACGCACTCCATGGGCGCCATCGCCATCGGGTCGCATCATCTCATGGAAGAGTGCCTTGATCCCGGACGCCTGTTCGTCCTTGCCCGCATGCTTCCAGGCGAGCCTGACCAACTCCTTCGACATGCGCGACGCATCGGGCGAGACCTGCCGCAGGCGCACCAGCAAGGCGTCCAGCTTCTTGTCCAGATCCCCGGGATTCTCTGCGACCTCGGCGACAAGGCCCAGCGAATGCAGCTGGTCGGGCTTGACCGGACGAGCCGAGAGCATGACCTCACGCGCGAAGGCCGTCCCCCACTCTCGGATGACATACTTGGAGATCGTCGCAGGACAAAGACCCAATTTGCCCTCGCTCAGCGTGAGCGTAGCGACCTTGGTACAGAGACGAAGATCACACGCGAATGCCAGTCCAACCCCCCGCCAAACGCTGGCCCATTCAGACAAGCGATCGTCACTTTCGGACACCGATCAATTACCTCGAACAGGTCCGCCAACCTGGCGAACTGCGCCTCGCTGCTCTCCTTCCCTTGCGCGACCGGGGTACTCTTCCCCAAATCCATCCCCGTACAGAAGAACCTCCCCGTACCGGTGATAACCACCCTTGACACCGCGGGATCCGAGCTCGCCGTATGCATAACCGAGTGCAACTCCGCAATCATCGCAGCGGTCAACGCATTCCCATTCCGCGGACGGTTCAGCACGACCTTGAGGTTCACCCCGCAGCGGAACAGCCGCATCCCCTCGGCGTCAATCGCCAAAGTCCACCGGAAAGCCGGCAGGGGCGCCTGTCCCTGCACCTGTACCGTCGAGGACGGCGGAGTGTCTGCCGGCGCCTTCGCAGCTGTCTTATGCGCCAGCGCCACTCCAGCCCGACTCCCGTTTTCACCGCCGGGTAGCTGGTTTGCGATCCAGATCCCCGTCTCGACCAACCGGGCCAGATCAACCCCCTGTCTCGACTCCAGCCTCCTGGAACATATACACCACATCCTCAGTGGCGGCGTTGCCCTTGGCTCCGGGCGCGAATGGACACCCGCCCAGCCCGGCGACGCTGCTATCGAAGATGCGCACCCCGCAGGTGTACGCCTCCCATATGTTGGCCACCGCCTGGCCGTATGTATCGTGGAAGTGGCCGGCCAAGGCACTGACGGGAATACCGCCGATCTCGGTGAGATGGTGGAGGAGACGGCGGACCTTGGCAGGTGACCCCACGCCTAGGGTATCGCCTAGGCTGATCTCGTAACATCCCGCTTGGAGGAGGGCTTGCACGCAGCGGAGCACCGCATCGGGCGGGGTGGGTCCGTCGTAGGGATCGCCGAAGATGCAGGAAACGTATCTGACACCATTATCAGCCTTGTTGACCCTAATGGAGGGGAGGTAGGTAAGGATTCAACATACCCTCGCACTGCCAACCCATCCTGCACCGCCCGCCCGACCACCTCCCGGGCCCTCGCAAGCCCCACCTCCACCGAACAATTGATATTTGCCCGGCTGAACCCCTCCATCGCGCTGACAAAAACCGCGATCTCTTTCACGTGTAGGGACTGCGCGGTTTTCAGACCCTTGAGATTAGGGACCAGCACCGGGAGCCGGAGGTCAGGGCTGTCGTGGCCTAACGACTGGATGGACGGGTGTTCAAGAAGATCCCTGCAGTCCGCGAGCTGAGGAATACGGCGCTGGGAGACGATGGAGGTCAGCTCAATTGTCTTCAGACCGGTTTGGTGGAGCCGAAGGATCAATTCGAGCTTGGTGGCGGTAGGGATTGGAGTGGTGACGTTTTGGAGGCCGTCGCGAGGACCGACTTCCACAATACGGACTGATGAGGGGGCCATGTTTGTCTCGTGTAGTGAATATATATTTTCCCGCGGTACCTTTCACTCGGGGGTGGCTTATTCATTGTTCATAGACACATCCGCACTACAAGGTTAGGTTATTAAGTACATGTGGACTGGTTGTCCCCGGACCGCTGGGTGTTTTCTACTCACGGACTGGCGGACCGAGGCTGTTGGGGTGAGAAAGAAGGTGATGCAACTATCTGAACAACTACAATCTCGCCCGATTCCGCTCCCTTTCGCGCACCAAGCGATTGCCCAACTCACGCAGGAGATGTTTCTGATGTTTCCCGCTGCCGGTCTTGGGGAAATCCGCGCCGACGCCGGCATCGCCAATCCAGAAAATATGTTGGGGTGCCTTATGCCGCCCCAGCGTCTGACTGACCCAGTGCCGGAGCTCATCGTGACTGACTTTCTCCCGGGCCTTCAGAAACGCCCCCACCACTTCCCCGTACCGCTCGTTCTGGATCCCGACCACACTGGCCTCACTGATCGCGGGATGCGCCGTCAACCGGTCCTCGATCTCGCGGGGGAAGATATTCTCCCCTCCTATTTGTGTCTGGCGGTCAGCATGCATCCTCGAACAGTAAACAAAAGCATACCCCGAATAATCAAATTCTTAATCCGTCCCGTCACCGCCACAAACCCCTCCGCATCCATCACCACCTCATCCCCCGTCAACATCCACAGCACTCCCGCCTCATCCCTCCGCATCACCTCCGCTGTCTTCTGGACGTTGCGCCAATATCCCCTCTGCACTGCAAACCCCGCCGTACAAAGCTCCCCCCGCACCCCGCGCGCAACCACGGCTCCCTCCCGATCCACCACCTTCGCCCACGTATGCGGCAGCACCCGCCCAACTGTAGTGATCCCTTTCTCCGCATCATCGCTCAGACGCGTCATAAATGTCACCGGGCTGGTCTCGGTCATCCCGTACGCGATCAGCACATTCGGGATCCCCATCTCTGTCCGGAGGCGGGCCATGAGCGTTGGGGAGACGGGGGAGCCGGAGGCGAGGGCGGCTCGTAGGGATAATGGCTGGGTGCCAGTTTGGGCGAGGATGTCGAGGAGGGCGAGGTACATGGTTGGCACGCCGAGAATCACCGTGGCGTGTTCCGTGAGAAGTGCATCCACGCAGCTAGTGGCGGAAAGGCTCGGGGAGGGGAGGATGATGGTGCTGCCGTGGATGAAGGAGGACAGGAAGCCGAGGACTAGGCCGAAGCAGTGGAATAGAGGCGGTGGGCTGAGGACTTTATCCTGGGGGCTGAGGGCTAGGCCTTGGCCGACGAAGCGGGCGTTGTTGAGCAGGTTTCTTTTTTTATAGCGTTAGTTGGTATCCAAGGCGGGAAGGGGTTCCGGAAAGGAGGTTTACGTGTGCGTTAACATGGCAGCTTTGGGGGAGCCGGTGGTTCCTTTGATATCTGTGAGTTGAATGACACCTATGGGGGTTATAGAAGATCAGAATTACCGGAGGTGAATTGGAGATTAAGGACGTCTTCTGGGAGGTGGTGCGTGCAATGGCGGCTTGTTCGGCCGGGTTGGGGAGGGCGTTGCCAGTAAAGGCGTCGTAGGGTTCAAAGTCGATACCTGTTTGGCTGGAAATGCCGTCTCCGATGAGCACGATCCGGCGGAGCTCGGGGAGGTTTGGGTTCGGTGATTCTTCGCCTCGAAGAGCCTGAATGTGGTCTGAAAGGGTTCTTTTGCTGATGCTCGCGGTGATGAAGACGAGTTTGCATGCTGGGAGGTGTTAGTAATGGCTTGCACGGGGCGAGATTGTGGGAGGGGATGGCGTACAGCTCTGGTGGACTGCGCTGGTCAATTCTGCGGGGGTATATGTATTGTTCAAGACCACCACGGGACAGCCAATGCGACCACTACCAAGAAAGACTTCGATGTATTGGTAACAGTTGCCCGCCATGATGCCTACGCAGTCTCCTGGATGCAACCCCATGTTGAGCATCGCCTGGGCGAGCACCCGGCTTCTCTCAGCCAGTTGGCGGTAGCTAAGCCGGGCGGACTGCCACGGCACAACAACCGCCTCCCTGGAACCGTAATGCGCTTCTTGCAGGTCGATGAGCTCGCCCAGCGTCTTGTGCCAGAGCGCAGGCTCGGTCGGGCCATGAAATATAGCGGGAGCGGAAGTCATCGTTGGGGAAGGCTATGACGTGAACAGCTGGAGTGCAAAAAACTTGGAATAAAAGATATGCCTGCAAAGGATTCGCCATCCCATCGCGACGTTATATACATTGCCTTATTCACAGACTGTCCGCGGTCCCCTCAGTTTGCTTGCATTGATGGGTTGCGGACCTGCGGGCGGGACCAACCGAAGGCATCGGTCCGAACTTAGGGCAGATCGATCCCCCCCCCCCCACCAACAGCATGGCCATCTCGATTATTTCATTTCTCCCCATCCCAACCTTGTACTTGTTTAGTTCACTTAGACTGATCTACCAAGAACACAGCTCTATCTAGAGTTTGACATTCATCATGGCGACTCAACCCTCCTTCCCACCGCTCCAATCCAAAATTGACATTAACAATCCGCAATATCGGGCCAATCGGGAAACATGGAAGACCGTCCTAGACAGGTTTGAAGAGGCTTTGGAGCAGGTTTCTGCCGAGGGCAACAGTGCCTCTCTAGCAAGACATCAAAAACGGGACCAGTTACTACGTAGGTGTGATTGATCCTCGCAGTGACATCAAGCTGACATCCTAGCAGCCCGCGATCGCATTGCCCTCTTGCTGGACCAGGACTCGCCCTTCCTGGAGATCGCGGCCTTCGCCGGCTATAGAAATCCCGATTCGACGCCATGCGCAAATTTGATTGCGGGGATTGGGAATGTTAGGTACGCCTACTAGTTAACTATTGCTTGCACCACTGATACTCATATCACAGCGGCCGACCATGTATGCTCATGTCACATATCCCAACCCAGAGCGGCGGGGCCTGGAATGAGACGACAGGTTGGTGACCGCATTCTACTTGGAGAAACCATACTGACTATTCATCCCAGTCCTCAAATCGAATCGAATCATGGAAATCGCCTTCCAGAATGATCTGCCATTGATTTCACTGGTACAATCGGTACAGTCCCCCAGTACTTTCTCGCAAGAAGTCGAATTTCTGATTGCTTATCCCAGGCCGGTGTCTTTCTGCCACAACAATTCCGAGTCTTCCACAAAGGGGGCCAACTATTCCGGGATCTCGCCGTGCGGACCCAATATGGCAAGCCCTCCTGCGCCCTCGTCTTTGGCTCCTCGACTGCCGGAGGAGCCTATCACCCCGCGCTCTCCGATTACACCGTCTTCGTTGAAAACCAAGGGCAGGCGTTTCTGGCGGGACCGCCACTGGTGAAGATGGCGACCGGGGAGGTAATTGGAGCGGAGGAGCTGAGCGGGGCGAGGGTACATGCCGCGAAGACTGGACTTGCGGATCAGATCGCGACAGATGAGTATGTGCGACCTTCTTCAGCTATCGAGTAACATCAGTTAATCCACCAATTGCAGGCTCGACGCAATCCGCAAGGCCCGAGAGTGGGTAGCTACCTTGCACAGCCCATCACCCACGACACTCGTCGACACCATCGAGCCCTTACCCCCAAGGTACCTAGTCGATGACCTCCTGAGCCTGGTTAACCCCGATATCCGAAAGCCCTCGACGACTCGCGATTTTCGGAATTCAAGCCGGAATACGGACGCAATCTGATCACGGGGTGGGCGCACTTCTACGGTAAGTCCATGCCTCGTTCATGTTCCTCCCAGCATTGCCCCGCGAAGTGCAGCACTAACTTGACGACCAACCCAGGAATCCAAGTCGGTATCATCGCCAATCAAATGTCAGTGATAAACCCAACTGAAGCCGTCAAGGGCGCGCAATTCATCCGCATGTGTAATCAACAGTAAGCTCCCCCACCCCACCCCAACTCCCCTTTCTTTCCTACCCCTTCTCTAACAGCTATACTGATAAGAAACACCCCCCTGCTCTTCATCCATAACGTTACTGGATTCATGGTCGGCGCAAAAGCCGAACACGCCGGCATCATCCGCGCCGGCGCGCAGCTCGTGGCCGCCGTCTCCACCTCGACCGTCCCGCACATCTCCGTCATCTTAGGCGCCTCCTACGGCGCCGGAAACTACGCCATGTGCGGCCGGGCCTACGGGCCCCGGTTCCTGTTCACCTGGCCCAGCGGCCGGTGCAGCGTGATGGGCCCCGAGCAGCTGTCCGGCGTGATGGAGAGCGTGCAGCGGAGCAGCGCAGCAGCCAAGGGGAGGGTGCTGGTGCCGGAGGAGCTTCGGGCGCGGGTGGAGCGGTTTCGGGCGGGTGTGCAAACCGATGCGGCGTGTTATGCGACGAGTGCGGGACTGGTGGACGATGGAATAATCGATCCCCGTGATACCAGGGATGTGGTGGGAATGTGTTTGGAGGTTGTGGTCAGCGCTGGGATCAGAGGCGCCGAGGGACATCGGTTATTGGCGAGGATTTAGTTCTACAAGGGTGGGGAGTGTGTCATCATACCTTATTCTTTTCCTTTTTTTGCCATTATTCTTGACTAGCGGTCAGGGTGCATCTCCTTTCATATACGATTGAAATATCTGTATTGCGTTATAAAGAAATAAAGCATAGGCGTTCGTCATACATGTAATATTGGGATTGGATAAACCAAAAAAAGGCGAGTGATCTGAATTGTTGCTGTTCCAGGGCATTCGCTACTGTCTGCAGATCCCAGCATTCATACTATACAAATAGAACTTGCCTGGAGTAGTCCTACTGACTGACACTAATGGAAAGCGTATTTGTTGAATTGCAGAATGATGTGTGCCCTAATGACAAAGTTGGATGAACGAGGCAGTGTTGTCAATAGCAAGGACTTGAGCAGCTACGACCAGGCAGCGTTGCGACACCCCACCATGTGTTATCCACGGACCGACTGATCCACGCCGGCGGGAGCGGACAGCGGTCCGATGCGGGGAAAGCCAAGCCAGACAACCCTAACCATTCCATCCATCGGATAACCTCACCGAGCGGAACACGGAACGGGGTCTCATTCCCTTATCTGCATTGTAACCACCTTTTTTTCTGCCTCACCTTCACCTCATGATAACGAGTCAGGACTCTTCAACAGCGGTCTGCAGCAAAATGACCGTATCCCAATCCCCCATCTCGCAACATGCCTCCCCCTCACGACCCCCATTCTACGTGGCTTCACCTCCCCTCGACCCGACCACCGGCCGCCCGATCATCCAACGCGTTCTAATCGCCAATCGTGGAGAAATTGCCGTACGCATCATCCAAACCTGCCGCAAACTCAACATCAGCACCGTCGCCGTCTACGTTACAGAGTAATTCTCCACCTCCAGCCTTCCCCGCATAACCTGACCATTTCAAACAGGGACTCCTCATCCCGCCACATTCGCGAAGCAGACACCGCCATCTGTCTGGGCTCCCTGAGCCGCACTGCCGATGAATCTTCCGAGCAAGAATCTACCGACACAGGCAACCCCTTCCTCAACATCCCCCTCCTCATCCGCACTGCCCTCTCGACCCAGTCTCACGCCATCCACCCAGGCTACGGCTACCTCAGCGAGAACGCATCCTTCGCTACTGCTGTGCGCGCCGCCGGTCTGATCTTTCTCGGGCCAAGCACCACCGCTCTTACCTCGCTTGGCGACAAACGTGCAGCCAAGACCTACCTCCGCACACACGCGCCCGCCGTCCCCTTAATCCCCGGCTTCGTCGGCACCAGCCAGACCCCGGCTGACCTGATCACCGCCGCAACGAAGATCGGCTTCCCGGTAATCCTGAAAGCCTCCGCCGGCGGCGGAGGAAAGGGAATGCGTATTGTCCATGTACCCTCTCGATTGGAAGCGGAGCTAGAGAGAGCGCAATCCGAAGCGGAGCGGGCCTTCGGGGAAAGGGACTGTATTCTCGAGAAGTATATTGCCGCCGCGAAGCATGTCGAGATCCAGATTGTCGGGGACGAGCACGGGACAGTTATTGCATTTGGAGAGCGGGATTGTTCCGTGCAGAGGCGGCATCAGAAGGTCGTGGAGGAGACACCGTGTGGGTTTCTGACGGATGACATGCGGCGAGAGATGTGTGAAACTGCGGTCAGGATCGGAGAGTTGATTAAATATGCCGGCGCGGGTACGGTGGAGTTTGTGGTGGATGTGCAGACGCGCCGGTTTTACTTTCTGGAGGTGAATGCCAGGTTGCAGGTAGAGCATCCGATCACGGAGGAGGTGATGGGATGGGATTAAGTTCCGTTGCAAGTTTATGTCGCAGCGGGTGGCCGTTTGAAGGATTTGCCGGGGTTGGAGGGGGGAGACTACAAAGTCCCGGCGCAAGGCCATGCGGTTGAGTGTCGCCTTTGTGCGGAAGACCCGAAGAATAATTTCTTTCCGGAGCATGGGAGGGTCCAGCTGTGGCGGCCGGCAGACGGGGTTCTGGGACCGGGCCGGGATGTGCGGTATGAGACGGCTATCCAGACTGGGGCCGAGGTGTCGATTTACTTCGACTCCATGATTGCTAAGCTTGTTGTCTGGGCGCCAACACGCGCGCTGGCAATTGAGAAAATGAGTGGTGTACTGGCCCAGACAGCTTGTGTTGGGGTCAAGACGAACCAGCTCTTCCTGCAGCGCTGTCTTCTGAGTCCCGAGTTCCGGAAGCCGACGTATACGACTGCATTCATTCCGTCCAATTTGGAGCAGCTATTGCAGTTTCCGGAGGTGCCGCTTCAGGAGAGTCTGCCCCTGATTCCCAGTCTGGTGATCCGGAGTTTGGCTGAAACAGGAAATACTCGTGGCCGGCTATTCCGGCACATTCGCAGGCAATTCCGCAACCAGCCCTGCGATCCAGTCAACATCCACTGGGACGTTGTCACGACCATCACCGGTCCGCAGGCTAGGACATCAGGCATTTGTGTCTGGGATTCACCGGCAACAGGACAGTCTCCCAACACGAAACATGCGCGACTCTTACCTGTTCCAGCCGAGAAGGAACCCGGCTCTGCCGTTGCTCACTACAACACCATCAGCAACACTCTCCGTGGCGGTTCCATCAAAGCTGTTACCCCGAGAACCATGTGTCTTGATTCCTTACAACCCACAGAGACCTCTTCGGAGCCATCAAGTCTGCCCAGCACCTTCACCATCGAAGCATCCGTTGACGGGCGTAGAATCAGTGCCCACGTCGCCATTCCTTCCCCTGGCACAGCGGCAGGATTGGTCGACCGTTCTCAAAGGATCTACTGCCACTTCCCATCTCTTGGGACATACATGGAATTCCAGCGGGACAGTCCGCTCTTGTTCGCGGAGAGTAGAAGGCGGGATGCAACAGCCGTAGAGGCGGCGAAACGCACGGTCACTGCGCCCATGCCATGTAAGATTTTGTCCATCGAGACGAAGAATGGGGATTCGGTAAAGGCGGGGCAGGTGGTCATGGTGATTGAGAGTATGAAGATGGAGTTGAGTATCTCCGTGGCGGTGGAAGGGTCGTTTCAGACAGAGTGGCGGAAGGGAGATGCGGTGGAGGAGGGAAGGGTACTTTGTTCGGTTGTCTAGTTGCCTGTACGTCTATAGCTGGTCTCAATGTTGAGATATGATACATATTCTTTCTTTGCACTGGAAGTACTGTGGTCTAGTAGCGACTCTTTCATAGTTTGTAGGGACCCAATAACAAGGGTGAGATAATCTATCTTGATTTAAGGGACCAGCGGAGATTAGTGATTGGAGTGGTTTGTACCGCCTCGAAGGTTACTGTATAATAGCCCACTCAGTGGAGTTGCACAATCGAGAACTGAGATCTAAAATAGAACCAGACTTGCCGAGCAGCAGTACATAGTACACTCATTGAAAAAGCAACGTAATCTACAACTTACTCTGCCCCATCCTGGCCATTGCCTTGATCTCCTGGTTAATCGCCAAATCGGAGAGAATCTCCTCACTGCCACCGCCGACCACCATGACTCGAACATCCCGACTAATCTGCTCAATACGCGCTCCCCGACCATTCTTCGAGTACCCCAGACCCCCCATAACCTGCTGTGCCTCTCGATTGACCATCTCCAGCGTTCTGCCTGCTAGCACCTTCAGATTGGCAAACAATCCTCCCATGTCCAAGTCCCTCCCTTCTTTACGCGCCATATCCGCCATCCAGACCAACTGCTCCATCCAGGCATAGGCCGAGTCCAGTCTCCGGCCCATTGCACTGAACTTGGCGCGAATCACCTGATTCTCAATGAGCTTCTTTCCGAAGGTCTCCCGCGTGATTGCATGCTTGTACGCATCCTCCGCACAGACCCGTGCCATGCGCAGCGAAGTACAAGCCAGCCACAACCGTTCATGATTGAAGTCTATCATGGTCCCATCAGCACTGGCTTATCCTCATGCCAAGGACATACTCACTGTTCATGATGATCGGGAACCCCTTATTTTTCTGCCCAAGTAGATTCGCCACCGGCACCTCGACCTGGTCGAACTCGATATACGTCGAACCTGTAAAGAGTCAGTCTCACTCCTTACTTACGTGCGAGAGACCATACCACTGGCCTCCACCCCGGAGTTCCGGATCTTCCGACACGTCACCCCCGGCGTCCCCTTCAACGGAATGATCAACGCCGAGATGCCCGCAATCCCCGCGCCCCCTGTTCGCACCGCTGCCGTACAATAGTCCGCAAAGATTCCATTGGTGATCCACTTCTTTGCCCCATTCACCACATATACACCGCCTCGCTGCTCTGCCGTCGTCGTGATTCCCGCGACATCAGAGCCCGCTAGCCATCCGCGAAAGTCAGTATTCCACTCGCGAAATTTACCAAGGAAAAGGGAGAACGAGATACCATCCGGCTCCGTAACTCCCAAGCAAAATCGAACCTCCCCGCGCACCAACGGCCCCAGGAATCGTTCGTTCTGGTCGGCATTCCCGAACAGCACGACCGGCGGCCCCCCGATGGCGTTTCCGCACCCGAGCGCCCACACTACGCCTAGGTATCCGCAGCGTGCGAGCTCGTCGATCACAATCAGGTCGTGGAAGGCATCCCATTGGGCGGGGTGGATGTCGCCGGGCAGGCGTTGATTGGAGTGCTGGATGTGGGCGGCTGCGAGCGGATAGAGTCCGGCGGCGGTGTAGCCTCTTTTTGAGTGGTAGTGCTGGACCTTCTTTGTGGATTAGCGTTGTATATGGCTTGAAGTTCGGATGGGGAGAGAGAGGGACGCACCTCTGGCGGAACAAAACCCCGAGCTTCCCATTCTTCGCAAAAAGGGGCAATGTGCGTGTCGACGTAGTCCCTGACTTCGCGCTGCAGGTGGTGGTGGGAAGGGGTGTAGTAGGGACTATTGGTGAGGGAACGGGTGAGCCAGAGAGGGTCGGCGAAGGGGGTGCCTGCTGGGGACATCTTGTGCTTGTAATCGGGCTGAGGGATGTTTTTATTGGTGGGGTTGGGCTGTGACTACTGGGATGAGACCACTTGGGGTATATCAGGTTCGGTTCATACGGTTGACTAGGGGGTTGTATACTTTGATTATATGTCTACGGTTCTTGCAGCAGTGGTAGTCGGATGCGGGCCGGATACGGGGTGTACTTTGTGTTCATTGTGCGGGTCATCTTAGGCTTGTAGAACAGCATAAGGAATGACAGTGCGTATACGCAGCAGTATGCCTACAATTGTCAGTAAAACCCTAATGTAAACCCAAATAAAAAATAAAGTCTCGTCGGATCTGGGATCCAGATCGCTTGGTGGGGTGCTTGCGTCGAGAACGCTACTTAATCTGTGGCGATGGGCGTGGAAATCCCGTAGGCGGATGGCCTGGTTCCAGGGAAGTTTTTAGTGATTATCTCACGCACAGTGAAATTGACGTACCATGTTAGCGGCATGGGTCTAGACTTGGGCTAATCGATCGAGTATATCGACAGCATGCTGAAAGCACTCCAGCATCTCCGAAGGCCGACAAGGAAGGCTCTGATGCTCCTCCTGTGACACGATCGACAAAATGCCTCCCGCGATCGCCACGCAGTATGCGTAGAATGAAGACTCGACGAGTCCGCCCGCCTCGGACACATCGTGGAGGAGACGAACAAGCTGTGTGGCATGGTCTAGTCCATTCTGCAGGGCACGGGTGACAAAGCTATGCGGAGCCTTGGAGCCAAAGGGCTTCAGGCGAAGTTTAAGAACAAAGGGGTGATTCAGCAAACAGTGGCACAGATGAAATAGGGTATGCGCGAAAGTCTGGTGTCCTAGTTCTTGATGATTCGGTGTCCCCGTCGCTTCAGCACTCTGCCGGACCATATTAACCACTGATGCATCTCCCGACTTCGCATAGGACTCGAACAGCAGCAAAGAGGAGCTGATCGCGGCGTACTCTGACTCGGTGTCCCACGGCGGAATCTCGTCCGTGTGCCGGTTGGCATAAACGTATCGCGTGCAGCGCCCGAAGATGGACGCAAGAAGAATGACCAGAGCAAACGGGCTGGGGCTTTCCGCGATATCGGTGTTCCAGCTGAGAAGCTGGTGCAGGGTGTACGTCTTCTTGATCTCACCTAGTCGAATGGTGATCTCGTCACACGGAAGCTGGACCTGGCAGTCTTGGTCGAGAATGACGAGGGGGCGCGATCGTCCACAGGAAATGAGTTTGTCTAGCAGGTAGACTGACCAGAACGCTCGTCGGCGTTCCTCCTGCTCTGTAGCAGGTAGCCAAGCATCAGGCTCGCCCATCAAGCCGAGCCCTTGTGAGATGCGCGCTGCCAGACCGATCTTCAACCACCCCGAATTGACGCGCCCAGCTAGAGTTTTCGTTAACTCAGAGCAACTGACGCTCACACCGTCGTCCACACCAACTTACCTGTATAATCAATTACTGCCAGCATATTTACCGTCTGAACGACATGCACCCCCATATTATCTTCTACTGTCAAGTGATCTGTCAAGACGGATAGCCAAGCCTCTCGAGCATAAACCTCTGATGTCTCTAGCGCTCTTCCTGCGTAGAGCTCGTGAGTAGAGAAGCGGACGGCGGAGGCCAGCACGGCTAGTACCAAACATCGTGGCAAGGTCCCTTTGCGTAGCTCCTCTCGGAAGCCGATCTCCTGGAAGTTACTGTATGGCTGGTTGTGCACATGGAGAAAATAGGTGTCTATGATGGAGTCCAGGACGGATTGCGAGGGTGTAACGAAGGGGATGCCCAAGACAGCAGGCTGTGTCGACAGAATCGGCCGCCCGAGGGGTTCAAGATCTATGGATGGGCTTTTCAGATTGATCAGCATACTAAATACATAACCGAAGCTCATAGTGAAAACATACCGGGGTTGTTGTGCGGCTTGTCCACTTAACTCCGCCAAGCGCGACTCAATCAACGAGATGCGCTGCAATAGTTGGCTCTAGAGGATCATCAGATAAATTATAACAAATCAATGAGGCTGCAACCGTACATTCTCATAGGTTGGCGCTGTAGAGGTACCTGGAGAGTTATCGCTGATGGTAACTGAGTAAGGCTCGTAAATGCAGGAATGCTTATTCCGGCGACAGTGGAAACAGATCGGACGCTCCACGGAGCATTTCGTTTTCCTACGCCTACACAAAGGCCCAAGCGCTCAGCAAATCTCCAGCCCAGCCCATATTGCTTGCTAGGTGACCTACCGGCAATTTGCGCACGCTTGGCGAATGCGCTTGAGATTGCCCGTTTGCAAGGGGGCCATGAGGGGACTCATCGTAGGGACAAGTCAGGCCTAAGCTGTGAGTGCGGTCGTAGGGACAAAGATGATAGACAGATAACCAGATAACCAGATAGCAGGATACGATTCGGGATGATGATGACGAGATTTGCGGGGTTGGGACACGCGACGGACGGAGGAGTGAAGTTGCAAAGCACAGGGCGAGAGAAAGAGGGGAAACACTAGATGAGCGGGTGGGGGCCCGCCTTGCCGCGGGCGCTGCGGGGCATTTCGGCCCTAATTCAGTTCCAATGTCGATCCCTCATAATTGGAAGTTAACTTATCGCTTGCTCTAAACACTATCGTACACTAATGTGATTGTTATGAACCTGCTGCTGGGTCTAATGGCCAAACTTGCAATCACTAGATGGTGAGAAGCGAACCTGGACTATCTGTGATTTTGGGATTGATGATCTACCCTTTCTATCGTTCACATCATCGCATTTCAGAATCTACCCTAACATGCGATTCGAAGAGGGTTTTGCTGTATCAATTTAAATTGCTGTCGTGTAAAGGTAAGGAACGAACAGAGCTGGGTACACTTTCCCGGCAGTCATACAACACATACTTGGTGAAGCTAGATGCAGCGCCTTGCATCAATATATTTTAGGCGACCGTCGGGAAGACACGGGGGGACTACAACTAATGCGGCTCCCGATGGTGATTAAAACAGAATTACAGGACAACGACTGTGAGATTTAGATTTGCGAATTCTCTTCATTGAAAAAGAATCAATTCGAGAATAGGTAGTACTATAAATGTGTGTGACAAAAGGTCGGATGGCGAATGTGTTGTGTCAGAAAGTCTTATCAATTTGCGGTCTATCAGCTCGGCGATAAGCACCTGGATAAGCGCCTCTCACTTTAATGCCCTATTTGGGTAATTCTGACTGCCCCACATAGACCCGTATCAAATCGACAATTGTGATTGGCGATAGTTTGAACTGCCAAACACAAAGAATCTGGGGAGGTGTCGCATGGCTGTACGTCAGATTTCTCCTCTCAAATGTCTATTTGAGTAAATTCGTACTCGGTGTGGATATAGAGAACATACCATTGCCACCGCAAGAACAATATCGGGCCATCTTTTGCGGTCCGGCTTATCACGCAGAAATGGAGCGTCGACAGAGATTTTTCGAGTGACACTTCGGATAGCATATAATGGGAGGGGTTATCGTAGTACAATATAAATACATGGAACGGAATCTTCCTTTGCCAGATTTGAAGCATGATCACCAATTTTTGAACTGCGCACACATCATCTCTACAACATTTCCAGAATGACTTCCCGCGACGGATACCAATGGACGGCAGAGACTGGGCTGGTGCAAGGCGTTCCTTCCATTGGAGTCATCTCACCCCCTACCAACATCACCTCCACCCTAGACCGCTGCGATGTGATTGTCATCGGTGCAGGCTATACGGGCCTCACGGCTGTGCGAGATGCCTGTCTGGCAGGGCTAAAAGTCTTGCTCATTGAGGCCCGCGATCGTATTGGGGGACGGTCTTGGTCCTCAAACATTGGAGGATATCCTTTCGAAATGGGAGGGACATGGGTTCACTGGGGTCAGTCGCATGTGTGGCGTGAGATCTCACGCTATCAAATGCGGGATGAACTGGAGCCCTCGTTCGACTTCTCCCACGGGGTCAATCATTTCCAGTTACGCACCAACCATGGATCGAGGACCTTCAGCCACCAAGAAGAGGTGAGTGGGGAATCCATCTATCATTGAACCCAACCTTACCCCGCATTTCACGGATTGCAAGCTAACCAAAAATTGTCTAGGATGAGCTTCTTGCTTCCGCCTTGCACAAGTTTGTGAATGTGGATGGTGAGCTGGGCAGGAAAATCATGCCGTTTCCCCACAACGCCTTCCATGTCCCCGCAGTCCGCCAATACGACCAGATGTCCGCCCAGGATCGTCTCACCGAGATTACCGCCTCGCTGACACCAGACGAGCGAGCCGTGGTCGAAAGCTTTATTCTTCTGTGTAGCTGTGCTACTCTTGAAACCACCAGCTTTTTCGAATTTCTCCACTGGTGGGCTCTGTGTGGCTATACCTACCAGGGTTGCTTGGACTACCTGATTTCCTACAAGTTCAAGCGGGGCCAGTCAAGCTTCGCCATCAACTTCTTCAAGGAGGCAGTCTCGACGGGCAATCTTCTTTACACCTTCAACAGTCCCGTGCAATCCATCGAGGATCAGAGTGGGAAAGTCACTGTCACAACCCGCGATAGCCGGAGCTATACAGCCGCCCGCCTGATCTCGACAATTCCTCTCAATGTGCTCAGCACCATCGCATTCTCTCCTCCCTTGGGACGCCAGCGTACAGCAGCAATCAATGTGGGTCATGTCAACCAGTGTGTCAAGGTCCATGCCGAGGTCTCCAGCCCCGAGATGAGATCGTGGACGGGAATTTCATACCCCTTCAACAAACTTACCTATGCCATCGGCGACGGGACAACACCCGCGGGAAACACTCACATTGTCTGCTTCGGAGGCGCTGCGAACCACATCCAGCCGGAAGAGGACCTGAACAAGACCAAGGAAGCCGTTCAGGAATTGGCACCTGGTAACATGGATATTAAGCGTTTGGTAAGTTTCCTCCTTAATGAATTCTTTCATTTATGCTGATCCAAACATCACTAGGTTTTCCACAACTGGTCGAAGGACGAGTTTGCCAAGGGAGCGTGGTTCTTCTCACCCCCAAAGCTTCTCTCAGTAGCTCTGGATGAGCTGCGAGCCCGACACGGAAATGTGCTGTTTGCCAACTCGGACTGGGCTGTGGGCTGGCGGAGTTTCATTGATGGTGCGATTGAGGAGGGTACACGGGCAGCAAAGACTGTTACGGAGGAGCTCCGATCAAGGTCGACTTCGCGGGCTCATTTGTGACTATCAATTGTCCGTAACATTAACTAGTTTCTGGAATAGCACACAGTATTTTATTCAGTACCACTTTGTGTTAATGGTTTCGAACTCATTGCTCCACCACTGCCGGTACGGCTATAGATATCCTCAGAGGAATGATAGTCCAAGCTCGCCTTCATGAAGGTTTCCAAAGACGGAAACATGCAACCAAGCGATTCGACAGGCACCAGCATGAAGATCGTATCTCGGTCCTTTTCGGACAGTAGTAAATCCCCAAGTCTCGTGTCCTCAGTGAAGCAGAACAAATGGGTACCGGATAACGGCCAAAGCGAGGGCCATAGCTATCACCATATCACGCAGCTAGTATCATTCATGTAATGATTTGTCTGATTTGTCCCATAAAATCGCAGATAGCGCAGGGAGCATAGATAGCGTGCCCGCAAAGCCAGCTTATCAGTGTCGTATTATTCGCCACGCCACAAGGCCAAAATCTCACGTTATTGACCGGTTTTGGTAATTCCCATCTCAGTCCCCGCATCATCCATTTTAACACTTAGGACTACCTTATGTGAAGTACCCTTCCTATCAAGTGCATCCTGATACATGTCCACGAGTGTGATAGAAGTTGAACCTTTAAAGGAGGGCGATGTTCGTCCTTGTAGGGCAGTATGAGAATCAATCAATATACTCGATCCAAGAGACAGTGTTATCTGAATTTCGCATCGATACTCCGAAGATGGAACCGTCAAAGGCGACCAAGCAAGGTATGCAAGGAGACACTTAGCTAAATCGTCGACATGCTGATTATCTATGTCTATGGACCAGAAGCAAGCCTGGATGTTGAGCGACGTAAGTTGATGGCCTGCTGCTTTCACCGACCGTGTCCCTCATCTCATCGCTATCTTCTCTTCTAGAGTCAGTCCGAATCGGTGGGCTGGTGGAACAGGACTGCGTGGAAGGGTTGGTCTTAAGTCCAGCCGGAACCCGCAAGATGACACCTCTTCAGATCATCTCCGCAAGTTGGATCATCTGTGACAGTTGGGCAGGGGTCTCGGCTACCGTGGCCCTGGCCATAATCCAAGGTGGCCCCGTTACGATGGTCTATGGATTAATATTGATGTTCTTACTTGTTGGTGCTTGCACTCTCACCCTGGCCGAGCTGTCGAGCGTGTACCCCACGGCAGGGGGGCAATATCACTGGACCTCGATCCTGGCCCCGGGCTGCATTAGCCGAGGACTGGTACGTATTACTGTTGTGACACGTCATTCCTGCTTGCGGCTGCCTTGCCTTACTACGGTTTCTGACCTATTTTCAGAGCTACGCCTGTGGAATAGCCAATATGTTCGCCTGGATTGCTATCTGCACAGGTGTTGCCATCATCCCGTCCCAACTCATCATGGGCATTGTTCTCTTCTACAACCCCGGCTTTGATGCTCAGCCATGGCATTACTTTATCCTCTATCAAGTCATAAATTTATCGGTACTCTTCTATTGTACTGCGCTTCTAAAGAAGTCCCTCTGGATCCATGATGCAAGCTGTAAGCACCAAAAAGGCCGTACCTCAGAATCATCTAACTCTTTAGTCTTCATAACCCTGGCCTCGTTCTTGGTCATCGTGATTGTCTGTCTCGCTCGTACGTCTCCCAACTTCCAGCCCAACGCCCATGTCTGGGCCAATTTCTTGAACGACAGCGGATGGACATCTGGCGGGGTAGCATTCCTCACCGGTCTCGTCTCCCCGAATTACATGTACGCAGGCATCGACGGAGCCCTTCACTTAGCCGAGGAATGCAAAGACGCAGCTCGAGTCGTCCCTCGCGCACTATTGAGCACGCTCGTCATCGGCTTCGGTACATCTTTTGCATTCCTTGTAACTATGCTATACTGCACCGATGACCTCAAGGCAGTCGTCACCTCAGCCACAGGGTCAGTTGCCCCGCTCCCCCTTCCCCCCCCGGTATACAACGCTAACCAACCCCAGCGTCCCAATATACGAAGTCTGGTACCAAGCCACTCACTCAAAAGCAGCAGCAACCACCTTCATAGTCCTCCTCAGCCTAGCAGCCGTCTTCGCCCTGATCGGGGCTCAGGAGACCGCCGCCCGGTTAACCTGGTCCCTGGCGCGGGACAACGCGCTCTACGGCAGCAGCCAAATAAGCCGGACGCACCCGACTCTCGACGTCCCTGCCTGGGCCCTGGTCTTCAACTTCTCTGTCGTGTTCATCATCGGCTGTATTTATTTGGGGTCATCATCCGCGTTCAACGCCTTCATTGCCACAGGCCTGGTTTTGCAGCATGTCTCCTATGCCATCCCCGCCGCGCTGCTCCTGTTGCGTCGCCGCGGAAGCACCTGGCTTCCTGCAAACCGGCCTTTCCGACTCCCCGGTCCGGTGGGATGGATGGCAAATTCTGTGACGGTCGGCTTTTCGCTTTTGGTATTGGTCTTTTATAGTTTTCCAACGGTGAGACCGGTCACTGGGAGTGATATGAGTGAGTTCTCGCCTTCTTCGAGAGCAGTGGCTAGATTGAATTCAGTTGCTGATGATGATGATTAGATTATACGGCTGCTGTGCTGGGGGTTATGGCGATTGTGGCGTTGGGGAACTGGGTGTTTTATGCGCGGCGGTGGTATTGTGGACCGAGATTGCATGGGTTGGATTAAGAGATGGGATAAGATTTGTTACTGGCTTATTTGTTTATGCTCGCAGAAGTCATTCAGAATTTCATCTTCAAAGTGAAAAAATGGAAAGTCTAAAGGGTCTTGGCTCTGGATCACCTAGATATAAAGCTAAATGGTGCCTAAAGCATCGTGGCCGGAAATACAACGGGCCGCTAAGGAGCCCGCCATCTGACTTCTTCAGCAATACAAACTTCTCTACTCTACCACCAGCACAAGCCTGCGGAAATGGACGACGAGGTGTTATACCCCATTGTCTGCATAAGATCAACTCCATGTTATGTAACAAAGACCCTGTCATACACATCCTCTGAATTCACCTGATTTGATCCATAGATCCTTACCCATATTATTGTCACAGCCTACCGAAGAAGCTTCCTTTCACCGCACTGCCTCTATGTTCTTAAAGATGACAACAATATTGAAGGTGACGCAACAGGTGCTATAGATATGCACTATGAGTAGAACACATCTTACTTTCATGGGAAATGTATTGATAATGTTGCTTATCTTCTTCAACAAAGAGTAGCTGGAAACAGAGTAGCAACAAACGTGTTCTTTATCGCGGACGAGCAGACAACCAAAGATTATAGCTTACTCCTGGTTCAAGTTCAACCCGGAAAGAAGGCTCAATCCTGTACCAGTGTTCGACTTGCCTGTGAGTTTATAAACGGAATGGCGAGATTTGTCTCTCATCAATACCCAACATCAATTCAGGATATCCAGAATGATGTCGGTGATGATGGTTTGTATCGTGGTGGTAGAGAGGACCCGTGTATTTATTGTGGGACACGGACTGTCTACCTTGATGACCATGATGCATTACAACAGAGCATTCAATAGGAAACTCCATTTGAGGGCTATGTTAAAATTGATCAGCCAGGGTCATGCCATGATGGCAGGAAGAAGAAGTTAAGGCCACATAGCATATATACAAAAATTCAGACTAAGTTGTTCTGTCGGCGCGTGTGGCCTGGGATCGCCGGGTCACGCGATCTGAAAATATGAAAATACCACATAACTATAGCCAGTTTCCTTTAATATATGAACTAATCAGGGTCAGTCCACTTAAATAGTTTTTTGGAAAAGAATTGCTTACCAATCGTCATTCTCGTTCTTTCTAACTGTAGGAATGTGTTGAGGAAAATAGATCCGTTATTAACGCCCGCAACTAATTGATTCGCCATGTGTCCGCTCTTGTATGTGGTCTATGGTGTTGGTGTCGATGCTTGTGGAATTCGGCCATTCCAACCCCGAATCCCATCTGGAAGCGAGAACAACTCAACGTGTCATCACCCAGATTCATTATTGGAGTTTCTTAATACATCAATCAATTCATCCTGTTTGCGTTGGTTCCGCCTGATCCCAATTCGCTAGAGTGTATACTAGCACATACGAATTTTGTTTATTGCCACCTGATCGGTGCTAGACTGTCTGAACATTAAGCCCTCTCGCGGAATAGGCCTCTGCCTAAAATTCGCTTCCGTGGCTGAGGATGTCCTCGGCAAGGGCAGGATCAAATTGTTCTGCAAGTCCGAATTGATTCCAAATCAAGCAGAAATGCTATCGATACTTCCAAGTTTATTATAAAATACTCTATGATATCATTGGACGAATAGGGCGAAGCAGGAATCGGCCACGACACCAGCACGTGCTACTCTGGTAGACGGATAGATTGATAGATGTGCCAAGCCGCATCTACCACTATACCATCTATCACTTATACCATCATGGAGGACTGGATATATAACAACACTCATTTACCAACATGTATTCAGTTCTGCGTGATCATTTGCACATTGTTACTTGGATACCATCCCGGTTCCTCAGAAATGGAGGAGTCACTCGCGCCAGCCGAAATTAATGTAAGTGATTGTACAACGTTTCGCGGGAGAGGGATGTTATTCCGCCCCTTTAGACAATGAACATAGTGGGAGATTACTACTTGTGTGGATCAGCCGCATTTCGGACGCTGATACTCGCACTGAGAAATACAAACCGGAGACCTCTACTCACTATCGTACATAAAAGCCCTTCTTTGAAAGTCATTGCGGTTCTTCTTTGCATATCCATTATCAGCAGTCGAGAATTGGTGACCTTCCACTCTCATCTATCAATGTCACTCTCAACAAAGAATGCCAACTATTTCCCAGAGTGCCGCCTGCTCACCGGCCGTATCGAACGCTTCCTGTTATCTCTCCAAGGGTATGGGAGGCCTCACCTGCAGACCAACCAGATAAAAAATTTGGCTCTCGCTCTTGCGTTCCGCTAGCGTAACTGAGTACTTCGCTTAGTGTGTTTCAATATCCGCAGGGTGAGAGGCTAGATTGATTCCAGCTCCGGACAATTGACGTATATTTGCCGATAGCCGGACTTTCTCTGTTTCTAAGTCCGCCGCCAGTTGCCTTAGGATAATCCGATTAGCGTCGCTTAGAGGAAGAAAATTGACAGTTCCGTACTCTCAGACCACTTCCAGTATCCCTGTGCTGCCTTGTTCTGAGGAGGCTGGACCATAAGAGCCTCCCACTCTGCTTCGGGCCAAAAGGGCCCTGAAATATAGATAACATAGACTAAGAAAGCATCAGACAGAGATTCTCTTCCCGGACGACATCAACCCAGCTCCAGACATTGTCACCCGCCCAACTTTTTTTTGGTGGTGAGATTCACTTCTTTTTTCCCAGACTGCTTCCATGCACTTCTTGATCGTCTTGAACCTAGTAAATCCAGTTTTTGCAAAAGATGCATTCATCCAGTCGATCGCAAACTCCCTATCAAGCGGATTTATTGCCTCACATCCTGCCATAAAGACTGGCCAGACAGAGCCTGGTCCTTCAACTTGACATACTACACATGCTGCTCTAAAATCTTTCAAAGACTCAATCACCGCAGTGACGTTGGGCTGAAGGAGCCGTGGATCTAATGTCTCAATGCGTCAATAGAAATATATGAGAAGCCCTTGATTCAAAGCACGAGTCATATAACTTCTTGGCTGTTTTGTTGTGATATCTGGAGGTTTTCGTGGCTGTTCCTTGGTGGGATACTCGTTTCCCCCGATGAGCTGCCAAATCATGTCTTCAAGCCAACGCCTTTTCCTCTCAATTGTCTCCCGCAAGGGACCATCCAGCCTCCCGTGACCCGAATTCAATTTGCTCACAACGTTGGCAAGGCGTGTAGTTTGCGAGACGAGGCTAAGCCACGTTTCAGACACACCATACAACTGACGGTACATTGCTTTAGTGTCCTCTCTAGAACCCTCAAGGTGGATATCGTTTAGGCTGCTGTCTTAATCTCTCTGTGAGGTTGACTGGGTACCAGTTGAGTAGTCTTTGAGATGAAGAAATTCATCTAGCTCCAAAGATGGATTCGTTCGAGTATTCAAAGGTGGACGTATCCAACCTAGGTTCGTTTCCACCTCGCTATCCTGACTGAAGCGCAGAACGAACGAGCTCTCAATGAGAGTCCTATTCCACGTGTAAATATGATGTAGCAACCTTGCGTTCCTTGATACTACTCTCTTGGCCAAACCGCGAAAGCTTAAGAGGCGCTCGGAATCGACCAGGTAGGCACGAGCATCTTTCTGGTAGTCAAATAGAATCTTCAAAAAGAGAGGGTTGTTAGCATAATAACGGGCATGATTGGGAAGGGGAAGAGGTGTCAACATACTGCAAAGCCAAGCATCGCGGATATTGCCATGAGTTGTTCCTTATACTTAGGGGGGCCTTTCGTCATGTAACTCAACAGTAAAAGAGTATTCCATGTGGAATCTTGCCTGTGAATATGCTTCTTCGCTGACTTTCTTCCAGTGTGAAGCATCGCTACTTTGGGCACTCTTCACTGTCGCCGCAAAATGACGAGCAGAAATTGCAATCAAAGCCAATAAATTCGCCAAAGCGGCATGGGTAACGCGTTCCACACCCATATAACTGAGGTTAGCAAGAGTCACGACAGCTGACTGCGTATTTACTATCTCCAGGGGCGCCTTTTCGTAGAGCGGGAAAGAAAACATGAATGGAATAACTTTATATCTGAAATGCGCCAACGTTGATTGGGCATCAGAAATTGTAATGTTTTCCAAATAAAGGTCTCGGCGTATGCAGGGGCTGGTATGGGGCAACCCTTCCAAAATCATAGCTCCGTCCGCGGCCCCCCTATGCTCGGCGCCATTGTCTATCTCCGGGTCAGGAGAAGCTATAAAGCTCGAATGTGGCCATGAAGAATTCATATCAAATAATCAGGCCAATCTAAGAAAGTATCGCATATACTTGAGTCCAAGGCATTGATGAAACCAGGCAACGTCTCCGATAGGCTATTACCTAGGTCGCTGGAGGACTCAGTGGGATCGGAATCAGCATTTACAGAGATAGAGCTAGGAGGATCTACTTGCTCCGTCCTGAGCTCCATCACCCCCAAGGAGCCAACAAATTTGCGCTGGCCTGGTAACGAGGCAACAACTTTTGATGTACGTTCAATCTCCTCCAGACTGTGACAGATTGGACCCGAGATCAGGCTGGATTGCAGGGTCATGCTTATAGAGACACGGTCTTCTTCTGGCGGCACGTCAGATCGCTTCCAAGCAAAAAGTCATATTTCCAAGAGATATACCTGTGTATAGATGCTTTCGCGGACCTGGGGTGGCGAGACCACGAGCCTTGTTTCCCTTCGCGGCCGGTCACGCCGATGACCATGTTAGTTGAGTTTCATCCATTTGACAGGTGACTCCAATGGCTTTATACGCGGAGTAGCTCGGATGAAGGAAGTCACACTTGACATGTCTTCTGCGGCATGGTATACATACTCCTACATCGTGACTTCGGCGGTACCGATGATGTAAGCGTTTCCACGACAGGGGCATTTCGGAAATCAATTCCAAACCAAGGCACAAGATCGGTACACCTAGCATATTAGTTCACGACAAGGGTGATTAAATCGCAAGGACAGCCTGAGGATGTGACATACTTGGTGCGGGTGATAGGACACCGATAAGAGAGATGATGTTGTCACGGACGATAGGATGGAGAGTAGGGTATAGTTAGGTGAGTTGGAAATGGTCAATACCCCGCAGGCCGTAATATGTCCATGAATGATGGATGAGCGAGGGCTTGGATAAAGCCGAGGGGGACTACGGGAGTGACTACCCGTCTGGGAGTGAAGAGTCTCCACTCTCCACTTAGATTCTCCTTAGCGGGATTGCCTGCCCTTATCGACCATCCTATTCCGAGCCAACGGAAGAATCGCAGATAAGCTCCGATCGACGCTTGCAGGTCTTTTTCTCTTTTATTTGAAGGCCTAGCTTCTGACTAGTGTTATATAAAGAGTGAACAACCAGAAAATAAAAATGAGAATTGAGCGTATCCGATCCATCCATTACCCTGCTTCTACAGTTTACAATGCGAGCTTAACGAACAATCAACGTTGTCGGAGTCCATGCCGCCGGGGAAGTGGGCGACGTGATTGTTGGCGGCGTTCTGGATGCCCCAGGAAAGACAATATTTAATAAGATGATGTACTTCTGGAAGAATGCAGACGGAATTCGACAACTGATGTTGAATGAGCCGCGTGGTCGCCCCTCGAAGAACGCGAACCTCATTCTGCCTCCTTGCGATCCCCGCGCCGATGCAGGGTTTATTATAATGGAAAGCGAAGAATATCCACCTATGTCTGGTTCCAACACAATTTGTACCACGACTGTCTTGCTGGAAACTCGCATGGTTGAAATGCAGGAACTAATTACAATACTCAATTTGGATACTGCGGCCGGCTTAGTCTGCGTCACTGCAGAATGTGCATTAGGTAAATGCAAGACAGTTGCCTTTGACAACATACCCGCGTTTGTTTTCCAGCTCGACTTGGAAGTGGACGTTCCCGACATCGGCAAAGTTCTGTGTGATATCGTCTGGGGTGGAATAATGTTCGCAATCTTCGATATCAGCCAGATAGGGCTGGCTATCGATTCGTCTGACGGAGAAAGAATCGTCTAATATAGCGAGAAAATCAAACGTGCTGTGCAACAAACCATCCAACCTGTCCATTCCGAAAATCCAGAAATTAAAGGGGTGACATGTCTCGTCTTTACGGAACTATTGCAGAACGATGTCGGGGAAAAGACAGCACGCAACACTACTGTTGTATCTCCGGGACGCCTCGACCGAAGCCCCTGTAGAACAGGTATATGTGCCCGCATGGCTCAACTACATGCTCGAAACGAGTTGTCGATCGGAGAATCTTTCCGACATGTGAGTCCTATTAGTACAGAATTCATTGGCACAATCCGTGGAACTAGCAAGGTTGGCAATTACGACGCCATTCTTCCTACCGTTAAAGGAAGTGCTTGGATCACAAGTTATCAACAAGTAGTTCTTGATCCAAGCGACCCGTTCCCGGAGGGATTCCGAGTTGGTGATTCGTGGCATGTGTCAAAATAAGTTCCTAGCTGAGAAAGCAGCAACCATCAAATCAACAACAGTAATCTGTCCAAGTTCTTATTATAGTTTATATCATGACGGAGGTATTCAATCAAATGCGCTCTGCTTACTTATTTACATAATTGTATTTCAGGCCTATCTGAGCCCTGGTAATGTTTTTCGTTCTTTTTTAGCCAGAGATCATCGATCTTCATTATTTTCGTTTTTTTCTTGCTTCCAGACAGGTAGGTCGAGGCACAATGGAATAACCACCACCAAGGAGAGGAAAGCACCGAGGACAGAAGAGATAGAGCCCCTGACTTAGAAGACCGCTCATCGCAAAAGATCCCTATTGTTCTGAAAGCTCCGTAGCCTGTAGAGTACTCGAGAAAGAAATGCGAAGAGAATCAATCTATTAAATGTAATGAACGACTAAAAAGAGCAATCTGCTTCGGACAGACGGTCGGCTGTCCCAGAAGCATCTCCTTATCTTTTTGCTGAATAGCCAAAATCCCCTCTTCAAACAAGCGAGAAGGTGTTGATAAAAACAAAAATGCTGCATGCTAAAAACGCAAGCCAGACCCAAGCACCCAATACTAACAGCCTAATACAGACCAGTCGGAAGCCCTTTCCTTTCTTAATACCGCTCAGGACTCACATGAGGTCATCACGACCAATCATTGCTGAGAGGGGGATAGTTACCTTCTGAGGTGTTGCGGAGAAGGTTCTTATCGGTATCAGTTTGGTTAGCGAAAGTTAATCGGTTTCCTGGATTTGCTGATTACTCGGTTTTTACCAAACTTAACCAAACTAAGCATCGCCTAGTAAATTCTCTGGTGAAAGAGTAGATTGTTATCTGTGCCAGGTCGCCTATTAATGAAATTTAGAATGACAGCAAGCGGATACAGTATGGCATTGTATGTAAGAATAGGGCTAATCTACCAACGGGACCCAATCCAAAAAGATGAGATGAATAAAGTTGAAGAAAAGAAGAAAAGAGCGGAAGCTGCGAGGACATGTTAGGGTGTCCTTGCTTACCTAGTAGAAAAAGAGCGGTTGAAAACCACCGATTCTTCAGAGTATCAAGAATCCCCTAACTAGTACAAATAAAGAAATCACGACACAAATGAAACTAAACTATTCTGGGTGTATTTTACTACCCCGCCATCCTCGACACACCCCCTTAGCGAAGAGCAATCTGGAGTTTCGCTGGAGATGTATGTCTTTCTTTCTCATTCAAAAAGATGGCCGATATCTTTCATACTAAGTATTCGAACAAACTCAGCATGCTTCAATTGAGGCAACATCTTCGTGAGTCCATCTGCCACCATCGCAGATGTCTTTGTCCACTGCACTGGTAATCGACCACTCTACATATAAAATCCCTATGTCCAAGTCTTAAAAAAATTGCTTAGAAAAAAATATAAAAAATATTAAAATAAACTAGAAGAAAAAGAAACCATAAAAAGCCTAGGCTCAGTTTCCAAAGCTAAAGATTTATGAAGTTATAAGAATTTTTAAAAAAATAAATATCTGATTAGGACAAATGTTACATCTGTAAGATTTATTCTAATCAGATATTTTTATTATCTATTTTAATATCTTTTTTATATAAGTTCTTCTTTCTATTTAGAAAAGCTATCTGATTGATTACTATCTAAATAATCTCTTTTAGATAAAATAAAAAGAACTCTTTTTAAAAATAAGAAGATATAAAAGTCTAAAATTCTAACTTTTTATTATTTACTTTTTTAAGATTATCTGCTGGTGCGGGTAACCTTTTTATTATCCAATTTTTTTAAATTTTATTATTATTTCTATTGAATTATTTCATAATAGAGTGGCTTAACCTGACCGTTATATCTTAACCTTAATCTGGCCATAACCTGGCGGTCAGATTAAGATATAAAATCAGATTAACTATCAGATAGAACGATTAACCGCAGTTAACTGTTATATCTATACTAGTTTTAAAAAGACTAGTTAAAACAGATATTAGATATAAATGGATATAAATAGATTAAAATCAGACAGTAGTATTCTGTCTTTCTTTATTATTTTCTAAAAATAAGTTTAATTATCAAGAAATTAGACCTGCCGGTTAACCGCAGGTTAAGCCGGTTAGAAATATATATATTTTTATATCTGATTATAACTAGAGTGGCTTAACCTGACCATTATATGTTAATCTTAATCTGGCCATAATCTAGCAGTCAGATTAAAATATAAAAAACTTTATACTGTCTAGTTAAAATTAGATTAAGATATAACTATTATTTAACTAGAGTGGCTAACGGCCAGGTCAGATTAGGTTAATTAAAAATTTTATACCTGACCGCCAGGTTATGGCCAGATTAAAAAAATTTTTATATCTGACCGCGGTATAGCTAAAAAACAGACGGTTAACCGTCTTAACTATTTTTAGTACTAAGATCTATCTGCTATATTTTTTTAGATTTTAATATAATTAAAATATATTTAAATTAAGCGGTTATTTATCTGACCATCTTAACCGTTGCCTAAAAATATATATAATAAAGCTTTTTAAATTAGAAAAAAATAATTAAAAAGAGTATTAGTACCTTCTCTATCTCTATATCTAAAAGTTAATAAGAAAATCCTAATAGTATTAATAAAATTTAACTTTTTCGAAACTTATTACTATTATAATAAGAAATATATATAAAGATATATAATTATAGCTCTGTTTAGACCGTATACTTTAATAATAATCTATAATACTAAAAAAATTATATATTTACTACTAATTAGATTACTAATAATAAATATACTGCTATTATTTTACTATTTTTTATTTAAATTAAGCTTAGATAGTTTATTATATTCTTATTTTCTATTTAAAAAAGCTGGATTGTCTATTTTATAGATTAAACTTTTAACAGAAAATCTGTACTATACTATCTATTTAGTTATTTTTAATAACCGTACTTTTCAACTACTATTTAATTTATTTATTAAATATTATAGTATAAATTTAAAATATTTAATTTATTTAATTAATCTCTTCTATCTGTTTAATTAGTTTAATCTGTTGGATTTGGACTATCTTAAAAAAAATAGATATAAAAATCAGATATTAAAATCTACAGTATTTAAATTTTACAGTCTGATTAAAAAAAGATCTATTTAATTTAATTATTTTATATATAATATACGACCGGTTTAATATTTTATTTATTTCTGATTCTGTTAGTAGCTCTTCGAGCTATATTTTATTTATATATCTAAAAATAGTCTAATTTAAGTTATTAGTAAAGAATAAAAAAAACTATTATTAAAATTTTTTAATCTGAAATACTATATCTATTACTTCAGCCCGTCTGTATTTTAATACTAAATTTACTAAAATAAATAAAATACGGTACCGCGGCGGGTGTCTTAGCTGTATATTAAAATATAATAAATTATATTTATATAAAAATATATTTTAAAGTAAAATAAACTATTTTTACAGAATTTTCTGTTTCTATCTTTCTGTAGTTATTATTTATAGAGTAGCTTTAGAATTATAAATTAATTACAGTTATTTAGTTTATTTTTAGAGAATATTATCGAGCCTTCTTCTTCTATTTCTCAGATCTTTATAAACTATAATAATATTTAAACTGAGATAAGCTTTTTAAGCCAGATTTTTTCTTCTTTTTCAAATCTTAAGATTATGCGTGTTGCGAAGAATCGGAAGATTGTTTTATATCCAATTTTTTAAAATAAATTCTCTATTTTTTAAAATTAGTAGTAAGAGACGATCTTTTTTAAAGCCTGTATATAAATTCGAAAACCGCTATTTTACTTCGGTCGGAAGAAGTTATTAATAATATAAAATAGTTTTTAGAAAGATATATTATTTTCTAATAGAATTTTTTATATCTATTATATTACATATCTTTATATTTTACAATATCCAGAAATTAAAAATACAGAAACTAGTTCTATAAGCTACTATCTTTGTAAGGATTGTAAGAAAAAAATAATATTAATTATATTTAAATAAATAATTAGTTAGATACTTAGTAATATATTATTACAGATACTTGTTTATTCTGTAAAAATAATTTTTTTTAATTTATTACTTTTTTTAGATTTTTATAATCTATAATAAATAGAATTTTTAGAATTAAGTCCTACGCTTTATTATTGCCTGTCGTCTACCATTCCGAACTATTAAGTATATTTAATTTAAATAAATAAATAATCTTACTGCTTTATTTCTGTATTGAAAATCAAGTCCGTCTAATCGAGCGCAGATTAAAGAATATTTTTTAGAATTATTAAAAAATATATATATACAGCTGTTATTAAAGTTTTTAGATACTAGACGGATATTAATTGCAGTAGACTGCTGAACTAGTTCTAATTAAAAAATATTTCTTACTTTAATTAAATATTTTTTAATAGAAAATATAGATTATTATAAGATCTTACTGGACTTCCGATCGGTATCTAAATCTTATATTAATAAAAATCTAACTGTAATTATTTTATCAGTTTTATATAAATATAATCTTTTCTATCAGTTATTAAATATAATAATTAATAATACTAGTAATAATAATTTAATATTTAGTATAATCTTTTTCAAACTCCGAACTTAGCTCAGCCAAAACATCCAGTTTTATAATACTTTAACCAATTCTAATTTTTTAAAAATTATTTAGAGTTAGTATTATATACCCTGTCTTATTTATATAATTCAGCTTGTAGTTAATACTCTTCTGCAGAAACTTCGGATTAAGATTTTAAATAATACTATTAAATATATATAGAATAATTATAATAAAAGTCTTAAAGCCTCTTCTGGTATTTTAAGAACTTTTAAAAAGATATATTCTAAAAGCCCTCTGAAAAAGACTAATATAAACAGTATATAAAAATCTTTTTTTAAAAATTTAGGGGGTTTACATTAGGGTTTTCATTAATCAGTGATAAGAGGCTGCGCAACGATTGCAGAGGAGATGAGCGTCTTCAACAGGGTAAGCCGAGAACGACGTGTGTGTACAGCG